TTTCTACAACACAACAAAGGGCTACAAACCTTACATCCAATGATTTAGCCTGCACTTTATCCAATCCAGGATTTACTCAATACTTGTGTCAAAGCTCCATTATAGCAGAGCCCGAGGAAACTCCGCATTGGATGGAGAGATGAGTTTAACATCCAATGTTGCCACGGTCCAGTTTACTGACACTTGTGAGCCAATTGTTAAATCCTTCAGGCCTTTGTGAAAATAAGCTACAGTAATTATAAGCCTACAAGTAAACACACACATAGATGAATGGGCATATACAAGCAAGAGATAAGAAGAAGAGCAGTTAGATTTGGTGTTCAACAATACCCACATTTACCAGTACAGACCACTGAAATCAAACAGTCTATTTCTATCCAAAGAGCTATCCCACATGCCATATATACACAATAGATTCAGCCACTATAATAGAAGCCTGCTCTTTGATCAGCTGGTGTAGTTAGTTTTGAATCCTCATCCTCTGTACACAGAGTCCTGCCAGCTTCCACCATAGTCATTAAACAGGGATTACTACAATTTAAATGCAAGGTGAATACAAACCAGTTGTTCAAAACCAGCTATGCTCTGGATTCGGAACCAGGACTGAGAAACACTGGAGTAGAGTCATGGTGACCGGCCACTTACGCAGCTATGAAATTGAGTTTTTGTTTTAATGTGATGAAACTCATTTTGAAAGAATGAAAAATGAGAGGCTGAGTCACACTACTTATGCCATTATAATAAATTAAGTATAAAGATCAATGTGGTTTCGAGGATGCGCCAGCCTCCCAGATGGACTTCATTTCTGTGCTACTAGTGCCATCTAGTGACCACCAGTGTACAGCAAACAGACCAGCTTTCAGCCGTCAGTGCACAGTGGATAACAGAGTGCCGAGTCTACTCCATAATAATCAGAAAAAAAGACTCAGTGCAGTTCAAAAACTCTTCCATTAACTTCATGGAGAAATGTCAGACTGGTGCACAGCAACATCTGCATTGTAAGAGCATGAAAAAAATACTTTACCACTATAGGCTCTCAGACTTGGTATGTGCCAGACAGTTTAATTATCATGTGCACCAGTCTCCTCATGTTTTATACATACGAGATTGCGTTAAACACACAACTGCATTCACATTTAACACCTTCACCAGAGAAAGATGTGGATAGACACAAATACATCTGCAAGTGCAATATGACATTTTTCTCAAAGAAACCTCAACATGAACAGTTTTACTTGTTCTCCAGTCTACGTTAGTGAGCTAGTCACTCATTTCTACCGATATGTACTGTATTTTATGTATCACAAAGCACTTTTGATGACGAAAGAGCATACACTGATTTGCTGGTAATTGTACCAAATGTAGAGGTTTCCTCACAGTTGACCCATAAACTTTAGTTTGGGGAATTATTGCACCACAGTTTAGGGTTGAGATACATAAAAACAAGCACTACCGTTGCGTACAACTTCCATATCAGCCAAAGTTCATCCATCTCTCACAACTTGAGCTAACTTTTGTGGTTGTTGGTGAGCAATCAAAATTAAAGCCTGATTGATGTGGTATTTTTGGTTCTGGTGCCAATTATAAATAGAAAAAGAAATGCTGATATATTATTATTATTATTATTATTACATTGTTTATTAACTTTCCAGGAATGTATTTCACAAACTAGTTAGCAACCTACCATGTAGAGTCTATATGGTAAGTTGCAAACTAGTTTGCGTATTCAAGCTTGGTCTAGATTGTAGTCTACATTGTAGACCAAGCTGGAGTGCGAACCACCGTCTGCTCAGCTGTGATGTATGCTCTGCTACATGTGCTGCAGACAGTGCTGAGAGGATTGTAAAAAGAAATATGTTGAAGCTGCTCTGCTGGACATATAACACTGTTTCTAAAATACCCCAGGCATACTTTGTGTAATATATGTGGTAAAAAAAAATTATAAAATAAAGGTTTTCATTATTGCTGTACATCATGACAGATGAAATTGACCAAACAATATATGCCGGGCTCTAATGAGAATGTCACACCACACACCAGGGACACAGCAAACAGCTAAGGTTACAGCCAGTAATGGCCAGTTACATTTATGACATAATCATTGGTTCGCAATTATTTGAGCTGAATGTAATCCTTTTTTTTAAATCATTTGAAACCTTTCCATTCACCTCTGTACAGGTTTCTGGAAAAAAAAAAACTTCAGCATCATTTTCAACCATTTTTCCCCCTCTCCTCTGCTAAGGCTTAGTCGTGCTTTCTGTTTAACCGTTAGTATTTGACAGACTGCATTTCAATGAGCATCTATTGACAATAATGTCGTGGATTTCTTTATTGGTAAAATCAAAACCCCATTTCCCTGCTGTGGTAGGCTGACCAAATAAATAAGGAGAGTCCAGCGTTGGAGGAGGCAATTTGTTAAATTTGCAGCACAAAGCTACCAGCCAAAGGCACTGATATTGTTAATCTGATTGTATTTGATAATCACAATTATTTATCTGACAATCAATCGTTAAATAAAATTTAATGATCAGGACAGCCCTTGTCAACTCTTCTGATCTGTAAGCTACTACTACAGGCTTTAACTTGTAGAAACATAAAACAATCTAACTTCTGGGTTCTATAGTTCTGTGTCAGTAAACAAGGCCTTTAAATTCAGGAGGTGACTAAATTTAAAGGCAGTTTGGGCTTCTACACTTTAACTAATAATAAAGTTCAAATGTTTTAATACTCAATTTAGCCCTGTAAAACTTATTCATCTTTGGAAGGACGTTTTTAGGCTATGTTAGAGTCATGAGATCCACATAGTAATCTCCCTACTCTGTGGAGACATTCTGTAATGGCTCCTTATGATGCACACTCTCCACAAACTCCAGCACCAGCAAAAAAAAGTTTTAAAAGCTCCTCAATGAGCCTCTTGCCACAATTTTCCACTGGCGTGACTCACAGGCAGGGCATCTAAGAAAAGTCTTTAAAAATGGACACAAAAAAAACCAAAAAAACAGTGGGTGTAAGCAGAAATACAACCACAGTCCTGCCAGCGTGCCACATTCTTTATTCCACAAAGAATAACTAAATGATGATTTGGGTCAGTGGCTGGGAATGAAGTAAAGCTGCGACTTAGACACCGGCTCAGTGACTCTGTTCCTTACCACCATACAGACTGAACTTTTGGCTTATGTGCCACATGCCTCTATTTTGCTGCACTGTTTGTCAGATGGCTTAACTCACCCAACCATAACAAAGTCAAATGTCAGCAGAACTGACACAATATAACCCAATCAAAGAGCTAAAGAGTTGTACGTTGAGTGTTGCTTGTTGCTGTGGAACAAGCTATATATAGGCAATAATGTGCAACTGTAAAAATTTAAACATATACACACTGCTTGGGTGCAAACTCTTCCCACGTCAGCTGGAAACTCAATAAACATTCCCAGCCAACAAGCAGCTGTTGTGCAGACATAATTTGTTGACTAAAAACACAGCTCGTGATGAACAGCGGTATGTCGAATGAAAGCAGGAAACAACCACAGATCTCAGCTGAGGAATGACCCATTTATACGAAATTTGGTTTTTGGATCAAGATGACAAAAAGGAGATTCACTGCTTGTTGCATCTGGATAGTGCCTGTAATGCCATATCCATTTAGGCCACACCAGAAAGCGGTACAGTTTCAGACATCTGTCAGCTTTCCTCAGACACATGTGAGGAGGCTGTGTGTGTCCTTCTTGTCTGGCATCTGGTTACCATCTCTGAGTCAGAAGCAGACAAATGCTAAAGCGCCCTGGAGTCACAGATGAGAGGGGAAAAGATATCAACAGTGCAACGTGGCAATGAACAGCTGACTGGTTTCATCATTCAGGCTCAGTTCCTTCAAAAGGCAGCTTGTACGTTTAACCCTTTGAGCTACAAACTCTGTTTTACACTGAATTTATCTACTTACACACCACATTACTATTCCATATCTCCAAGACCTTGGGACAGGGCAGTTGACAAGTTGATACACAATCACTCTTTGTAAAGAATTATGAAACTTTCTCAACCGGTAAAACAGTTTTTTGAGCAAAATGATAAGTTGACTGTCCAAGTTCTTCACAGATTATCAGTCACTTCACCAACTAACTGATGAAATTTTTCAGCAACAATTTTGATAGTTTTTGTTTTTTTTTAACAATTATAAAGCAAAACTTCTAAAAATTCTCAGCTTCTCAAAAAACATGATTTGCTGTAATACTACATGAAATCTGTCTTGATTTTGAATATTGGCTGGACAAAATGTGCAATTTTAAGATGCTACTTCAGGCTCTGGAATACTGTGATAAAAATTTTAAAAAATCTGGAATATAATGAATTTTAAAAATCCATCAGATGATAAATTATAGCACTACTGAGTTGCAGCTGGGGTTCAAACAATGTTTAAATTGTTTAAAGCAACGAGAGCTGCAACTAGTGTTATTTTTGTTGTTGATGAATCTGTCAATCATTTACCGAATTACTAGATTTGCTGTTTGGTCTTGTCAGAAAATGTCACAAAATGCTGAAAAATGTCAAGATGACATTTGCCAACAATCAAAGGATATTCAGTTTACTGTCACAGAGTGAACAAACCAGAAAAGGTTTAAATTTATGAAGCTGGAATCAGAAAATTGACATTTTTCCCCTTAAAAACTGATTGATTGCTTGATTGATTGATTGTCAAAACAGTTGATGGTTAATTTAATAGTTAGAACACGACATGGACAATCCCAGTTCCTTGGATACTGGGAGAAATGGTGCAACAATTATCAGACTTGAGCTTTAAATTCACTGTGTCAACTTCTGAGTGACCTTTAGGACTCTGTCCAGGTCAAACAGAACATATCTCACCCACTGTAACATCTTATCAGGAAACAAAGTACATGGGGTTTTTGTGGTTATGTCATGAGGTCAAGTGCAAAATACAGATTGAGGGCTGTATGGTTCAGCGGTGCACGAACAGCTGCTGGGGTCTCGGGGGGTCTCACCTGCTTGGGGTCATCGTAGAAGACAGCGATGGAGGTCAGCTTCGGCCCAATGCTGCAGCTCTCTGTGTAGGCTGCACCGCAGTCCTTGTATGATCCCTCTTTGAACTTATAAGCAAAGGTAACATTTTTGATCGGAGGCGGCCCGGTCTTAATAACCACCTCTGTCAGGAGCCCTGAGTACAGCAGTAAGCCCCCCACTGTCACAATGAGACACACCAGGAGGGCAATTATGAGCAGCACCAGAATGAAATCAGACATGGTCTCTGAAAGCGGCACAGCTGCAGTCAGGTCAATTCGCAAAATATGTCCGAGCTAAACGTCCCTCCCTCCGGGTAGAATACACCGGGACTGTGTCCTGAAGCTTCGAGCGACCGCACGGACAACGTAGCTATTCAAAAGTCGGTGTTAAATCCGTTTTTCGTGAAAGACAAAACAGTCGTTCAAGTAGACTGAAGCCAGTTTGTTTATGGTATTTCCCCAAACAGTGGAACACGCTTCCCGGATAGACCATTCTAATCGCTTCGGGGGGGAGGCGCTAATGTATTATTCAAATGACTCGTTTGCATTCGTAAATCACAGCGTTAGAATATCAAACCTCCATGTAATATATTGTATTTAATAAATATGAGTCATCTTGAGATCTGTAAAACGTAATTAGAAAAATGAATATACACATGAATGGCAAAGGTACCCCCTATTTTTATCATTATGGTTCAGTCTAGCTGTTGAGCATGAAAAATACTGAACAAATAAACTATTACTTTCTGTTTCTTTCATGTCTCACTGTAACGTCTTTCTGCTGATGTCCTCGCTTGGTAAATTATGTATGGAGGTTATTCTAAATGCTGAAGGTACTTTCAGCCTTTAGGGCTGATTTCAGGGGCTGTGAAGTCAAACAGTGGTTCAGCAAAGTCTTGTAGGAAATTTATTAGGGACAAAATATGGTTTGAAACAGAAACTAAACCTAAGCAGAATTTCAAGAACATGATTGGATTGCGAGAAAGGACCAGAACACATTCTCACAACAAGTTAGGAGTAGTATGACAGTAAATTAAAACACTACATAAAATAGGGATTTTTTTCTGTCTGCATTATGCTCAGACATTTGTGCTGACAGTTGGAGCAGCTTGTGTGCTTGACTTGCAAAGTTTGAAGTTGCATTCATCAGCACTTGGTCACAATGGACCAAAAAAAAAAAATCAATACAAGCTGATGAGTACACGAATGCCACTGATTTCCAGTTTCTAGGATGTAGGACCAGAGTGACAACCTGAACAGAGCAAGGTTCAGGTTGTGTCAGCTCCTACTTGGCTCTATTTAGGAGTGTGTGTTGAGTTTTGGCGCGCTGAAGATCTCCATCATACAACTCTTGTGGTTAATGCATCAATGTTGAATAATGTAGACTGAATCAAGAGAAAAGTAGAGGCAGAGAAGCTACAAATTTGACAGACCTCTATAAAGAGACACCATCAATTCATGTTTATCCTTGAGTTCCAGTTAAGGGAGACAGAGGTTTGAAAATGTTGACATTAGTGTCCAAACAGCTTGGAACAGTACACGTTAACACTGTTTCATTGTGGATTTTTCCTTCAAAACCAAAGTAGGTCACCTCTTTAATTTTGCCTCCTACTTAACTCTTTCAAGAGTATTTGAGAGGACAGATGTGGCTGAGGCCTGTTGCCATTTTGATTTATGGGCCAGAGTTGGGATTGAGGGTTACACAAGCAGAACAACCCTGACTATATTCCAGAATTTCTTACAAAAGCTTTACTAATGTGATACGATGGATTTTGTGTACCTGCTTAATGTTGTTTGTAACTCTAACATGAACCAGAACACTTTCAATCTTAATATAGTTTACAATGCTTCCCACTAAAACAGAAAGTGTCTAACTCTAGAAAAGGGACAGAAGAAACCTGAAAACACACAGTTGTACCGCAGTGTTGTTATGTTAAGTAAGAAACCACACGACCTGTAGAGGACGTCTGTGCTTTAGGCTATAATGTTTTAATAGATGTCCTCGTATGACCCTGGAAAATCAGTCTAATCCCATAACCCTTAGGATTTGTCACAGAGAACTGATACACAAGCATTTGGAAAGCTTGTATAATTTTGTAAGCAACAAATTAGTTTTCTCTACAGACTTCAGCACACCAGGCCAGGATATCTCTTTCAGTTTGTGTTTTAAGTCTGCTTTTTTATATTGTAACAAACATTTTACTAAAAATTCAATACCTTTACATCAGTTTTAAGTTTTACAGATTTCAATGAAGCAATGTGACTTCAACAAGAAATGTTTATTCTAACATCAAGTGTGTTTTTTTTTCTCAACTTTAAAGTACAAAGAGTTTGAATCACTCAGTCCTGGTTTTACATGTTTACCTGAGTCTCCTGGATCTTAAAGTATCAACGATGTTGTTTTCCTTGACTTAAAGCTTCCGATAATCAGTGCTGTCCCTCTTTGTGGGATTTGCCAGGAACAAAAATTGCAGTGTTTAGCAAGTGTACTGCTGTGTTGCGTTCCCAGGCTGGTTTAATTTGTGCTCATTTTGAGAAAACACTTGAAAGAAAAAAGGGTTACTGCTCTTACATGCCACCAAGGCATTTGGATTTTTTTTTTTTTTTTTTAAATAACCACTTGAATTTTTTTCAGTATCAAAGCTAACAATATTCATATATTGTGTTTTATGAGAAATATTCACATGGCAGTAATATAAATTAATCACTCTTGTGTATTAAAAAAAAACATGAAGTTTGTCATTAATACTGAATGACAATTTTATCTTTTATTCCTTTGACAAACAAATATAATATTAACATCAACATCATCACTAACATCAACAGTTCTTTTTCCAGAAGCAAACCTGCTGTGACAACATGTAATACAATTAGAAACGTTTTATCATCAACAGAAAAACAAAACTGTGGGATTATATAAACGCATCAATTTAAAAAATAATAATAAAATGAATTCGTAAGGTGTTATTCCCACACAGAATACAAGAGCTGTGTTTAGATGTGTATCAGTGATGTCATACCTATCCATTGCCCACAATGAGTTGCAGTATTTTGTAAATGTAGAAAGTGCACAAGTAAAAAGCAAATACAGCTCTACAAAAACCTGAAAAGTTGCTTTATAAAATGTTTAAACCTAAACCAACCAGTTTGTTGTTTTGTTGTTTTTTTTTAAAGCATATCACTCAGAGTCATCTACAACATCATCTGGATCTGCATCTTCTGCTGCGTTTATCTTCTTAATTCCCTCAGTGTCACTCTCCTGATCCTGCAGGGAAACACATTTGTCAAGCATGAATATTTGAAGTTACGAACATGTTTGCATGAAACAGCGTCAATGTAAAACATGTTAGAAGTGCAGCGGCTGCAGGACACAGGGTCTCGGGACTGACGCCGTATCAAGCGGTTTCCCTGTTAACTGTGTCACTCACTAATCATTAGCTTGCAAGAGAACTCCTCCACTTATCTTATCAGCGTGGCTGCCCTCTACAGTTTCAACTGCCTCTCAACCGTCAAGGATGGTTTAAACTTCAGCAAGTAATCACTGACTGAGCAGCAGTGAGAGGAGGCAGTTTAGCTCTCTTGTACAGTCGACTGCTTATTCCTCAAAATAAAACACACATTGTTATCATCTAGAAGCTTCTGTCATTTACTTGAATACCTTATAGACTCACATTTTTGAAGCCTAAATCTTTTAAAATCTTCGTAGTTTGTAGTTTAAAAACTCATTATGGTCTATTCTGTCTACCTAAAATTTAGCTTGCACGGATAACTTTAAAAAAAAAGTGAGCTCTGTTGTTTTTAAGCCAAGCTTCAGTACTGTGTGTGACACTTTCTACATCATCATTACTCTAAACCATTGTCAAATATAGATTCCAATCTGGAATAAATACAAGCAGCACAGCCCAATTTCTGTTTCAGATTTGTCTCTTTCTACAAATGGAAAGTACCTCATCATCTGACTGTTGCTGCTTCTCCTCTTCCTCTTCATCGTCATCATCACTTTCTTGTGATTTCTGAGACAGAATCTCTTCACCCTGCAGGATACGTTACATCACTCTGTTAAATACATAACTGAAACAGCACAGAGGTTAATGATACAAGTTTAATAATGTTTTACCTTCAGGTTGCGATTCTTCAGGTTACCGATCCAAAAGGCCTCCTGACAGTTGTTGAGCGTCAACATGGCCTTCACTCTGTACACAAACAGCTCGAGGCTCTTCTTCAGGGCTGGAACATGGTTGGTCAAGCTGGTATCCTGGTTAAGCTGGGTACCATAACATTAATGACAAGATTACTTCGTTATAGCGCTCCTGAGGATTACTACATGCACTGCACAGACTCTTGAGTAGAATATTTTCCTCTCCTTGACTGGCACAGTGGATGCAAAAATTACACAGGAATGAGCAAGAATCTGAAAATCTATAACTACCTTAGAATGTCCACACATGTGATGGAGCTGGCGCGTGCTGAGCTGGAAGGTTTTCAACAAGCTCTGGACGTCCTCCTTAAAAGCAAAATGCATCGCACACAGTCATCCCTGAGACTTTAGTCACAGCAGACATTTCCATTGTCACAGAATGTCTGCTGTGACAAAGGTCTGTCAGCAGCTCTTCATTTAGCATGGCTGAATACAACAATGAACAATGTTTTTTCTGTGTCTGATAAAGCTTTAGCAGCAACTAGTGTTGACTGATATAGTGAGGCAGAAATCTGAAGCCTAAATATAAAGCAAAGCTTGACTCTAATTGTCCAATCTTTGTTGTAGATAAAGGTTCCTACATGAAATTCTGCGTATTAAAGTAAAATATAGGGATTAGATAAGCATTACAGGATGTCATGGGTGGTCCTGTTAATTGGTTTTTGCTTCTATTAATTCAGTAGCAGGGTGAATTCCCTTGGGTAATGTGTAGTAATCATATTGAAGGCAACAATAAACTATTTCCATGTTTCAGCATATAAATCTGACCGGTTTCTAACGTCAAACCTATTTCAAACATGCATCATTCTGTATGCAAACATCCAAGAGCAATGATGAAAGGATATTTTTTAATTGAGGAGGGACTTTAAACACACTTTTAAAATGGCTGTAGCTGTGAGGTTATTTCATGTCTACCTTGTGCCTTTTGAAACTGTAGTCTAGCAGCGGCATCCCCAACTTCAGGAAAGACTCCAGGAAAAGGCGGCCATACTATCAGTCACAACATTATAATAAGTTAATACCAGGTCACCTATACGTTCCACCAGCTAGTATGTGAAATCCTATTCAACACGCAGAGCCAACCCACCTTTAAGCACACATTGAGAACCAGCCTAGAATCAAATATCTGCAAGAGGATCACAGGACAAATAGGTTGAACCAAACACACAGATGTGTTAAAGTAATAAAAAGATGAGGTGAAGTAAGAGCTATCAGTTGCATATCGTATCATTGACTGTAGATAAATGTTCTAAGCAGGTTAGATCCACAGTCAGAGTAAGTTTGAAAGATATTTACAGCTTTATGACTGTGTGACCAATGTACAGTACCTTAACTAGGTTGACCATGATGTGAAAATCTCGGACAGCCAGGGTCCAAGTCAGCAGTTTCACACTCTGAGCCTAGAGGAAGGACATGAGTTATGTGCTGACACTCGTGAATCACCCAGAAAGACTATTAAAAATTGCCCTTAATCATGCATTCATGCTGCATATTCTAAAATGCTCTCAGTTCGAAGCTGCAGTTATAAAGAAACTGACAAAATGATTGCAGATTAGCAATTTCTAGTAGAACAGCGGTGCCCTGTGGATCAGACTACACTGATTTCCAGTACATGCAGGAGAGCATACTGAACAGTATGACACCTAGTGGCTCACCTCAGTGTTGTCACTCATTTTGCCAGCAGGAATCTTCCGCACAGCTTTCTCCAGCTCTGCCATCAACACTTTGTAGTAAACCAGGAATGTCTGCCTGAAGAAAAAGAGAACATAATAGAGGAGTGAACAACAGGATATTAATCCTATCAATATGGCTGATTATACTATTTTTCACGATATTTGGTCATTTACTGCAATCACACATACAGGGATGTAGCCAAGTACACCCAGGTGCTGCTGTTACTACAGAAGCAGGTCAGTAACAGCACATGGATCTGTGTTGCTGCTTAGCTAAAGCAATATTTCATTTTACCAGTGGTAAAAAAAAAAAAAAATGTAAAAAAGAATTGAGTTCCTTTACTTAAGTATAAGTACAGATTGTAATAATGCTCCATTACAAGTAAACCCCCTGCAGGAAAAATTCCACCTCGGTAAAAGTACTAACAGCAAACTGTAGTTAAATTATTAAAGCAACGGTTTGTTAGGTCAATTAGCTTAAACCCCCCTCTGACTGATATATTACTATATATGACATTGTTAAATGATTAATAGTGAAGCATCAGTCTGTCAGCAGCATGTTACTGTTGGAGCTGCTGTAGGTGGAACTATCCAAACTTGATTAGTGTTTGGTAGAGCTAGTAACAACTCAGACATGTGAAATGTGACCACGACTACCCGCTGCTCTTTATAAGATGTCAGGGGACGCAAAGGTCGGAATCTAGTTTAATCTTTAACAGCGTGTTATATTTTAAATGTTATATTCTCCATTGTGTAAAAGCTAAAGCTGTCAACTAAATGTAGAGTGTAGCCGAGTAGAAAGCATAATATTTCCCTCTAAAATGAAGTGGACTGGAAGTATAAAGTAGCATAAAATGTAACTACTCAAATAAAGCAATAAAAAATTGGACCTAAACATAACGTACGTACTTTCCAGCACTGTATTTAACGGCAGCGTAACGAACTAGAAAGAGCAGACGGTAAAGCTCTACCTGTTGAGAGTGGGCCAGGAGGTCGAGCTCTCATCTTTGGATGTATTGATAAGCTCTTGCATTCCTTTCTCAGCGATTTCCTCCACTGCCCTAAGAACATCGTCAACATGATCCAGGTAGATGCTGCAGAGACACAGAAAAAGACACAAAAAAATAAATCCTAGTTAAGAAGGGCTGATGCTTGTTCATAGTTATAACAATATGTGGTTAGAAATATGAAGTAGTGACTATGTGCATTAAAATGTGTTTGGGTAGCAAGATGGGGTCCATGTATGGATGGAAAGGATTTTACTTCAGTAATTCCTTCAAAGTTTAACATAAATGTGTCGAGGTCATAGTGTTGTGAAACTATTGCAACTGGTGAATAAATGATCAACTTAATTTATGGTGACTGAGCTACTCCAAATTCACAGCTACTTGTGTGGTCTATTGTGGACAGCTCATCAACTAAACAGTTTCCACAGGCTGTTTGTATTGCAAAAAACATAACACACACAAACATACAAAAGACACAAAAAAAACCCCAATAAATGTAGTAAAGCATTACTCAGCATCCTGGTACTTATACACATCAGTTTAAATCCATTAGAGAACCTGTGTGTTTGGATTAAGAGGATCTATGAGCAGATATGAAATATAGTATTCAAGATTATGAATTGTTGTGTGTTTTTTTTAGCTTGAATAAGCTCTTCATGTCTATGTAGGGAGTAGGTCCATGTTGTGCTGTCGTGTTTCTACTGTGGCCAAGAATAGACCAAAAAAAAGCACTGGCTTGAGAGTGACAGAAGTTTTGCTGATATCTGAAATCGTATTGCAAGATGACAATAAATCCTACAAACAGTTCCTTTACTCTGATTAATTACCATACCATCACGAGCAGTATAGTGGTACAGGTGGTTAGCACTGTAGCCTTACAGCAGGGCTCTGAATTTGAACCTGTTGATCGGCTGTTTGGAGTTTTTACAAAACCATATGATTAGCTACAACCATAACGATGTATTGTTATCTTATAACGTGTGATCAAGCGCAGTGGCAATCTCTCAGTGATGCTTGAACACAATCGTTTCAGTCACCTTCCATTGGTTCTATATTTGTATTTCATGTACTAAAGCTCACCTCAGCAGACTGTGAAGGGTTTCATTGAATTTGGCCCCTCGTTCCTTCTCTCCGCTGGCGGTCACCCAGGATTGGCTGAGGAAACGTCGTGCAAGGGAAGCTAGGAAGAAAAATCGGCCAATTATCATCCCACTCTATTGGATCGTAGATGAGTCAATAAAAAGGAGGTGAGACATCAGCCTGACCGGTCTGCTCTCTGTAGGCTGCAGAATTCCCTCCCTTCTCAGACACAGTGGACAGAAGCTGGGACAGGCTCAGCGCCGTGCTGAGATTTGGTATCGTGCTGCGGAAGTTCAGCAAGTACTCGAAACTGTGTCTGAACAAAACAAAAGGGCATATAAATACATTTATTCTGTCATCGTACACAAATGCAAATAAAAGCAATTGGCCTAAAATTAAACAAACCCAGAGATTATTCTGCTTCTTGTTTAGAGAACCATGCTGTGATTTTTTGTTTTGTGGCATTCTTCACATACATCAGTTTTTCCTCTCTGGCTCTTAAACTTCATTACTTACTTCACAAGCTGCTCCATGGTCAACTCAGCGCCTCCTTCTTTGAGTCGTCCAGCCAAAACTCCCAGGACCTTCTTCAATAGGCTGCGTTGACCTGGCTGACTAAATCCAGACCTGACAGATGTACATATACGAACAAGGAACAAAATTTGACATCGGGAAGAGACTGGCTGCCAACTAAAAGACTCTAATGCTTTTCTTCTGACATCCAAGTCAGTGGTGCTGGTTTGGTTGCGCTCACCAGCTGAAGGTGGTGTTCAAGACCTGTAGGAGCAGCTGGTAGCCAGACGACATTAACTGGTGCTCGTGCTCATCGGTAGCAGGTCCATCCACAACACCATTGTTCTCAGACAGCAGAGTCTGCGATGGCACAAATGCATACAAGGGAATTGTTTCAGACACTTGGAGGAGTTGAGACTTTGCTCTAAAAAGAGAGTTCTTGATTATATACTTGAAAGTGGTTGTGGCAGTTCTCCAGGTGTGAGCAGAGGGCCGGCATCAGCTGGACACAACAGGAGGCAATGTCCTTGGAACTCCTCTGTTGCAGGTGGGAGAAGCCCACGCTTTTATCGGCCTTTCCCTACACAAGGACGTATTTCATTAAGTTGCATGTGACGGTCATTATAGTTTAACACAGTGGTGACAAAGTGTTGTTGACACTCAGAGCTTCATCGTAGGTTATCTTAGACTATAAAGACAGATTCAAACTACCATAATTTACTTCCATCCATTTGAGCAGTTTCTCCTCATGAAATTGTTACATTCAATTTGCTGGTGTTTTTTTCCCGTACCTTGAGGAAAGGGGCTCTTTTGGCAGGGGCAGCTGTAAGACTAAACTCCAGTTTGCGTAGCATATCCTCCAGCAGGAAGACGAGCTCAGCCGGACCCAGCAGAACCTCTTCTCGCACCTTAGTGATGTAAAAATATCATAAATGTGTGTAATACGTTAGAATCGGCTCTCACTGGCATAAATTAATTGATTTCCCTGCAATCCAAACAAATCTGCCTGCTTCAAAAAAGTGAGAAAGAGGATGTTGGGTAGTACTCTTTTTTTCAAGAAAAAGTAAACTTGTAATTTATTTTCTTACATTGGTGTGGAGCTCAGAGTCGAGCAGCGAGCAGGACAGCAGGCCACACTGCAGAACACTCAGCACCTCCATGTCCAGCTCCCTGAAAAATGGTCTGTAGGACGCCAGACTGACACCTGGCCGAATCTCCTTTTCTTTCTCCTTTTCTGGCTGCTCCTTCAGCACAAGAACAATCAACATTTTAGCTCATGTGCTTATTTAATAACTGAATCTTGTGAGATGTAGATGTTCACCTGCTGAGTTTCATCTGCTTCAGTCGCCTCCTCATGCTGAGAGCTGCTTTCTGATGAGTTCTTACCGGGGGCCTTCCTCTTCTTTGCTGTGCCATCTGAACAACATGTGTGAGTTGGACACTTAAATATACAAATTCATTATGCAGGCTGTGTGTTCATGCAGTATTTTTTTCAAAGCACCAGCATCTTTTTTTCATATCCCCAGCGAGGAAGAGAGCTTACATGGCCGCCAAGAGAAAGAGCGAAGCAACTGCAGGCGCTTTAGTGGAAAATCTTTGAACTTATCAGAAAAACACTCGTGTCCTCACTGTTCCTTTCTGACAGCTAATCATCTGGGTGGAATTCAACACTTGGGTACCCAAAAGGAAAGCTTGTTCTAGCCGTGTCTTTTGATCATGAGCTTTTAAATCTGTCAGACAGAAATTGTCATGGAAGGATGACGCTACTTTATTGTACAACAGTGATTAAAGTGAGGATACGGTTTTAAGATGTTGTCTTAGAAACAAACCCCATGTACTTTATCGCAGCCCTTTTTGATTAAGCATTCTCCAGCATCCTGCCAGAAAGCAATATTATATAGAGACACAGCCTTGGAGTATCGACACACCTTGGAGTACAACATTACCTTTCTTTGCCTTATTCACAGGGGCAACGGAACTAATCACGATCCCGTCTGTGCTTTCTCCATCAAAGTTGGAAACAGGTGGAACATAACCAGGTGTTCCTGAAACACAAATTAAACAACATTCAGAATTTTAAACTTATTAGTAGAATTGACATATTGCTGCATAATAAGGAGGGTTTTTTTTTTTTAGATCTTCTATTGCTCGATCAAAAAAAACAAACACAACACACCTGCCAGAGCCTTTTCCAACAGTGTCTGAAGGTAAGTGATATTCTGTAAGCGAGTCATCACTTTCATCTTCATCTCAATTTCTTTTACTCCACAGAATCCATTTATGACCTGTGTAAACATACACAGGTTTAGCCGCAGATCTCACACCTGAACCTTAATGGGGTTTTTTTTTTACATCAACATGCAGTTACCTCTCTGAACCAGTTGATGGTGTGAAAGAGCAAAGTACACAGAAACTCCCTCTCAGCTTTGGACAGGCTGTCTAGTTTTTCTACTACATCCAGGTCCATTAGGATCAGAGGGCAACCTGTGATGCAGCAAATGTACAAAAACAGGCATAAATTGTTAGAGAGCAATATAAATCAAGTACAAACTGGTTTCCACAATGTGTCACTTCCTCTCTCTTACCCAGAAGACCATCGATCTCCTCCAAGTCTCCTTGATGCTGTTTCTGCTCACACAGCCTCAGGAGGCGGAAAAATGGAGACAAACAGAGCGGAGACACTCGCCTGCCCCCAGAAAACAAAGCAAAAATCTCATTGATTGCATATGTGTTTGAAATATAACCACACAAAGAAGTGAAATTGTAAATTTGACACTGCTGCAAGTGAAATCCTATATTGATTAAACATCTGTCAATCATCAGAACTAGTAAGAGATGGTGGGAGAGGGGTGACTGACTTTTGTGCCTTCTTGGTTTGATTTTGCTGCTCTCCTTTGTTTTGGAGGTCTTGGACCAGCACGGGCATCAGGTTGATGGCAATGTCTGACTGACTCTCCCCCTCATCCAGCCTGTACATCACACGGGCTGGAAAGGGGAAGGAGCTGAAACAAGGAGGCAGGAAAGGATCAATGACACTAGTTATAGGAATAAAAGGTCTCACATCTGGGCAAACTGTCCATCACTAACCCTGTTATTTCTGGGCAAAGGTCCACGATAAAGTCATCCTGAAAGTCCTCTAGGACGCTACTTCCAATCTTTTCCTAAAGGCAGGAGGAAGAAAATCACATCAGAATGCTTAGTTGTGGCATAATTTCATCTTATAAAGGAGACTATGTGTCAACAGTGGCATCTACAGTGTATTTCATTAAAAACATCAAGAGATAAAAGAGCCATCAATACCTGAAGTTTAAGAGGACATTTTTGAGACACACCTGCACTTGTGGGTCCAGGGTCGTGTTCGAAATTAGATTGGCCAGTTCATCATAGTACAGAGCTGTAGCCTCAGGTGAGCTTTCGCTGCTCGACTTCACCAGCTCCAACAGGGCCGCCACCTGCAACAAGCCATGATCACACAAACACAGTGAGAGATCACAAAATCTGTAGCAGAAGTGAAGGAAATACTCTCAATAGCAACAATAAAGAATATGATAAAAATGTCATATTGTCTGCAGATTAAAGACATTGTTCTTCTTTAACATCATGTCTTTCACAGGGAGGTCAAAGTGCAAGTTCAAAAAAGCCAATTTTTCAGTGTCACAAGCTGCTCACTATGTATTTGATTGGATATATACTGTAGATACAGCGGTTTGAACAATAAATGTCCTTCCTTACTAATTAAACTACCTCAGTGGAAACCCCAATGCCACAGCAGCCCCACCTGGTTGCATACAACAAGTGTTATTATCAGACGGTACAGATAACAGTTATTTTAGCATTGGTCTTAGCTCAAAAAAAATAATAAGACGGCAACAATACAAAGACAGGAGCTGACACCATGTTTATTAAAATATTATAAATGCTTTGAATGAGAGTTTTAGTCAAAGGCTTTTGGCTGTTTTCCTACACAAACACTAAAACTAGAACATACAGTACATACAAAAAAGTCTATGGCAGCTGTAACTCCCTGTTAAGTCCTAATCGAAACACAAACAAGGAATCAGGATAAGAAAGTTACCAAATATTCTCTGCCATAATTTTGGATAATACACTACAGATAAAAGAAAGGTGGGAAAGCTGAAATGCAGATACAGAAATATCGTGGGGCATGTGGGAAGAAAAACGCACTGGAGAACATCTGGCAACCAAGTCAAATACATGGAGGGAATTCAAACAGAAGGTAACTGAAATTTTTTAGACACCAGAAATAGTGGGTAAAATGGGCTCAACATACTTAATAGAAAGTAATAGTAAACATAAATGTTGGAGCAGTTGTGGTAACAAACAAAAAAACAACCATGCACACTAAATTTAAAATATTTTGGGAGGACACACCTAAAGAAATATTCCACCAAAATTCCACAAAAGACCAAAGGGCGCACTGATTGGCCTGATACTGCAATTGACTAATGGAAGAGCAAGAAAAAATACTTTTACAAACACTGCAGCAATCAAATGCATCATAGTTAAGCAGTTTAAACCTATATCCCTAATATACAATATCTGGATTGAGAAAGTATGGAAAATATATCAGATGTAACAAATAACATACTCCCTGAAACTCCTTTTTTTATTATAAGATGGAGCTCTACTGTGGCCGTTACTCTCCACATTCAGAGTCATACATTTGCCTTCCCAAATCATTTTACCTTTTCGTGCATACAGAAACACCACAGTAGTGTTTTTTCTCTTTTTTGTGGCTGGTTTGTTCTTTTCTCCTCCTTCTAATTGGCACTTCAGTTTGATTGTACCTTTGACAAATATTAGTCCAAGCTGAAGCAAAGCCAGTCAGTCTTACTTTAGTAAATATCTATAATCTACATAGAGACAGCAGGCAAAATTGTAAATGTGGCAGTATAAGTTTTTGAAGCTAAAATAAAAACCCTAAGCTAAAGTGGCACTGAAATAAAAAAATAAAAGATCTGCAACGTATATACTGTTTGCTCTGCTTTCTAAATGTCTAATACTTACCTGTCTGAATGTCTCCTGGGGCAATGACCCATTCTGTGATTCTTTCCCTTTAGGCCTGGGATGACATGGGAGTGGAGGAAAGAGAGTGAGGTGAAGACATAGAAAGATAAAATGAGAGAAGAAAAGTAGCGCTGATCTGATGTGTGAGAAACAGCTCTTACCCAGAGGCCCCCATACTGCCGACAATCATCACGGCACCAATGATGCCAATACGTTTGTACTTGGGCACAGTGCTGGAGAGCTGTTTGCGGATCACTATGTGCATGTCATCCTGAGAGGAAGAAAACACAGTGATAATGATACATCAGTGGGAAAAGGAGAGCAAGAAAAGGCTAGAAAAGTGTTGAACACATGACTACGCACCTGGATGTAAGATCCTTGCTGCTGCTGCCCAAAAGCCAGTCTGCTCAGAAGGTGGAAGAGTCTTCGAATCTGCTGAGGTGTGAGGTTGTCCATGTAATCCAAGATGCCCTGTGTTATTATCAAAATTGGTTAAAAGTTCAACTAAACACAATAGCAAGATATTGTCAAGAGGAACCAGCTACAAACTGTTCGCTTGGATTAGCAGCAAAAATACTTGTGTCACCTCATTACCTTGACAAAAACAGCATACAGGGCCATTTCTGCAGGTTTTTCTGTGACTAAACCACAGAGCAGCTCCAGAGCCATGTCCACCTCCCCATTCACACCGCTACACACATGGGTCACTAGCGAGCCCACCACCTCCTATAAGACATAATACAACGAGATATATTTTAAAGAACGCAAACACCCTAAAACACACAAAAAAACCCACACAGACATGATTAAAATGAATCCCACACCCACCTGATGGCAGTAGGTATCGAATGTAGTGAATGAGTGTCTGTACATGTGTCCACCAAAAGGCACCACGCAGGGGTCCGGGGAGCGCAGCAAACTCTGAGCTAGAGCCAAGATTGAGGGGAAGTAACCTCGCATGACCTACAACACAATCAGTAATAAAAATGACACATTTATCAAACAATAAAGAATTAGGGCAATAGTGTAAAAATAGTGCCGCTGTTGTTATTTTCAAGCCTGTGTGTCCTCAGGTTAAACCTACCTGAGCGTAGTCCCTGAAGGTTTTCTGCAGCAGAGCCTCTTGGATCAGTCCAGTCCTCACTTTGACCTTCAGCACTCTCTCTGCCCCCCGTCGGTTCTGATTGGCGTTAGTGGAGTGAAGGATGAACAGCACCAGCAGATCTATTACCTGAAATGGCAAGAAAAAGATACAGTCCCATATAAAAAACACAAAAATGTAAGCCAATAAAAAGTGGTTGATGTCTTCCATTTCAAAATGTCACATTTTTGCCAAATGAAATGAATGAAAAATACTTTATTTATCCCAGAAGGGAAATTCAACAAATCTAAACTTTGTCAGTGGCCGTCAATAAAAATGAATAACAAAACAATCAATGCTATTTCCAAAAGTATTTCATACATTTTCCACTAGTTTTTAAATCATCTTGGCTTCTTTGCAGGAACCTCCACCTAATATGAGACCAAACCCTGCAGTCAGTGTTCATCTGGAACACACTGAACTCACCTTATGATCCTCCACTTCTTCCACAGACTCTATTGCCTAATAATAAAATAGAGTAAACGTTAATGAAAGGAAGATGAAAGGGATTATTATTTATTAGGAAGTGAAAAAAACAACTGTAACAGATATAATAGATAATCAATTAGGCAAGAATGTTTGAGAAAAATATTTTTTCATACTTTGAGCCAAGCTTCAGAAATGGATTTCTGGAATCGTACTGCGGACTTGATGCAGTCCAGTATCAACATAACGCTGTCCTGGCTGCTGCCGGCTGCTGCTGTGGAAGCAGACCTGTCCCAAAAATGGACTCATTACATCAGATTATCAAAAATCCTCTGACTTATGAGGTGTGTCAGAAAGGTTTTTAGGACTGGTGTCACAAAAGACATATTTCAAATCCAAACTACAAACTACAAGTTTTCCCTTCAAAGTAATCCCCCTGGAGTCTAACGCACTTTCCCAGCCCTCTCTGCCACTTCGCCATGCACTCGCCACGACTTGTCCTGCTACAACTCTCGCCTCTTTTCCCGCACTGACCAAAGCAAACGCCGCAGGATCTCTTTGTTGACGTGCTGGTTGATTGTCTATAGGGGGACACTTGTAGTTTGTAGTTTGGGTTTGAAATATATCTTTTGTGACACCAGTCCTGGAGCTTTTCTGACACACCTCGTACTTCAAAATGGGTTCTGGGTTTCATGTTTTTATATTGAGCTGTAACTGAATTTGAATATGTGTTATCTTACGCTGCTTTGTTCTTAATGCGGCTCTGGGAGGCCTGCAGCACAGCAGGAAGAACACACTGCTCCAGCTCGAGTTTTTTACGAAGATTACACACCACCTGCACACAGCGAAACACATGCCATACTTATTGATTTCAAAATAAATGTTCTGTGACAACATAAGAATTAGTACCGTTACTGTATCATTTTCTAAATGCTTCAGAGCTCTGACCTCATATGCATCAGAAGCTGAGACAGAGTGCAGGATGAACTTGACCATGACAGGTAGATCCTCCAGTTGCACAGCGGCCAGTGTTGCCATCACAGCCCCACGAACCTGAGAGAGCAGACAGCAGCAGATAAGGACACCACAAAATGTGTGTGCAAAAAACACTGTGAAAATCTGTCAGGATGGGTGTCTGGAAAATATGTAGTCAAATATTGCAATGTTCAAAAATTGCTAAAAAAAATTGTTTGTTTAAACTGTTAATATATGAAGAATAATGATATTTTGAATTCAATTTTAAATACAGGAAAACAGTGGAATTTTTTTTATCACACATTTTCTGTGATTCTACGAGTTGATATATGTACCTTAACAAAATGGAAGATCTGTAAAATATTTTTTATCATTTACCATTTTTTAATCTTAATATATTTCATATATTTTCACATGATGGCAAATATCTGTAAAATTTTTTTTTGCTGATTTAAATACAGGAGAAAATGGAGTCATTTTTTCAGTTGTAGAAGAACAGACTACCATTTTTAAAAATACAGATTCTTGATGTGGACATTATTTACAGATTTGGGCTGTTTTTTTGCAGCTTTCATGGAAATGACTATGTTTTTTTTCGATGATTTTATTAGTTATCATCTCTAATTTAACAAAAACAGAGAAAAGCTAGAAAATAATGGCAAATTGTTAAAAGAATACAGTTAACACATTTTTATAGTATGTTTGCATGTAATATGTGTGTGTGCTACCTCTGTCAGCAAAGAGGAACTGAGGTTCAGACTAGAGAGGGCATCCAGGATGGGGACGGTCAACTGAGTGTTCTCCTGGAGCAAAGAGCTGCAGATGGCAGGGATGAAAACAGCAACTTTAAAATTGCACATTAAAGCACAAGAACGAGGGATCTGTCATAGAGATTTACTGTACATACTTGAGCTCCCGGGCTATGTCATTGTGCTGGGAGTCTTCCAGTATCTCTGGTAGACTGGTGATGATGTCACGCTGAACCTCCACTGGTGCTACTGACACCAGCTCCATGAGCTTTGTTGCCAACTCCTGCAAGAAAAAGCAGAAATACATTTAAAAAGTGAGTCACCCTGTAGAATTTAGTGACAATATAATCGTGACTGATAGTGAAGATGGAATATGTGATTTTAGAGGGCAAACTGAAGAGAAAAGCAAAAATAACAATAGCTTTAATAGCTGTGATGACCGAAGATGCAACAAAACCTGTCATTACAGAAATGATTACCTTGGCGTCTACAACTCTGTCTAGCCATTTGAGCTGGTTAATTATCATGCGTGGAATACTGAGTCCTCCATCAGCAGCACTGTGAGACACACAACAGGAAAAAGTCACGAAAGCTCACGAAAAACTTGTGCAATAAACGGATGAAAACTTGTAAAGTGAACCAATGAAACACTAACCCATCAAGCATAAATTCAGGGAGTTTCTCGAGCAACGTGTTAATGATCAAAGTCTGCAAGACAGAGCGGATGAATAATGATTACATCTGCTCTCCTTTACATGTAGCTACAGCAGAAAGAGGCATTTTGTATTTGTTTTTCTGTCACATCTTCATGAAATTGTGATGCAGTTTTCTAGACAGAAAATCCTACCTGGAGCATCTCAATGCCCAGCAACATGCGCAGCAGGCTTTCCTGGAATGAACTGACAGCACTGCAGCACAGAGGAAAACATATCAGTCTGTTAAGCTTTACTGAACCCTGACCTGAGCTTAGTCTAACTTGTAGCTGTAAATTATATAAAACTACTGAAAGTCGTCTCTACAGCACCGATTGTTTTTATGACACTTACTTGGAATATCCATCAAGTAATTGTGGAACACATGGAAGGAGGCAGTTTCTAAATCTGTCAGAGTCCTCGATATAAGACTCCAAGCTAGTGATGAATTCCTGTATGATCTAAGCAATGAAAAAGTGATTAAACATAAGCAACAAACTCAGCAACAAATCCATTTAGTTTTGTGTTTTGTTCTGGGTTTGTGCAGGGTTTATACTCACACTGGGGTACCTGGGACTCTTCTGTAGCTGCTGTCGTATTCGTTTCTGGAAGACTACTTGGTCAACAGCTGAAGGAGAAAACGCAACAACGCAAGTGAACATCTGATCTCACTCACTGACCTAGAATGTTTTGAAACTTTGACCGAGCACGATTACCAATCTCATTGGATGTGCCACAGGGTTTCAAGGTGACGCCTGCCTCTCTCAGAAAGACTCCGAATACACTTTCATTTGTCTCTTCGGGAACAGCTTCCTTAGGTTGGCGACCAGTGGTGCGACTCTTCTTTGCCTCTATAAGAAATAGAAAACAAACCTTACAGTAAGGAAAATTCTGTCGAAAACAACTACACACCTTCACATATAGAAAATGTATTCGTAACAACACTGATTCTACTTTGATCTCAATATAAACTGTACAGCATGATGATATTCTTGACACTTGGTTACTTTGATATTTCACAGGGTTAACCTGGCACATACAAGGTGTGTTAGAAAAGTTTCAGGACTGGTGTCACAAAAGATATATTTCAAATCCAAACTACAAACTACAAGTTTTCCCTTCAAAGTTATCCTCCTGAAGTCTAACACACTTTCCCAGCCTTCTCTGCCACGCCGTCATGCACTCCTGGAACGATTCTTCCAGGATCCTCCGCAGCTCCGTCGTCACAGCCATCTTGATGTCGTCCATGTCTTCAAAACAGGTTCCCTTGATGACCGCCTTGAGCTTGGGGTGAGTAGGGAGGTTGCTCCAGCACGGCGATGTTCTTTTCAGCCAGGAACTGTCGGATGCTCAGGGCATTGTTTGCAGATGTGTTGCCATGGTGAAGCAGCCACAACTTGTCCTGCTACAACTCTCACCTCTTCTCACACACCGAACGAAGCAAACGCCGCAGGATCTCTTTGTAGACGTGCTGGTTGATCGTTTGAAGGGGAAAACTCATAGTTTGCAGTTTGGATTTGTAATACATCTTTTGTGACACCAGAACCTTTCTGACACACCTCGTACACTGTACAACATAAATGATTACACCCCCATGCAGCATCACTTAAATACCTCCGTGCTTCACTGCCAGGACAATGTAGTCACTGTGGTAGCCCTGACCCAGCTGATCCCCAACACATGTGAGCTAAACAAATCTCATCTGGTCAAAGATTATGCTCCCATTTATCAGGTTTCTGTTAATGTCCTTTAGCAAAGTTTAATCTTTCAACGACGGGCCAAAGAACGAACAAAAGTTTAAGAGTCTAATGCAATGCACCGTCTTTCACATGATTTGAGCTGTTGCAGAAGCTCTGATTTTCACCGATAACCCCTGTGCCAAGTCTAAACCACCTGCCCATCTGTTTTTCGAAGCTAGATTGTGCAAGCAGTACATTATCTTTGGCGTCATTTTAAGAAGAGCCCAATGTAGTTCTGATTAGTGGTGCTATCGCTCATTCTATACCTCTTGATTACTGTTACAACTGTGTTTTAACTGATTTTAGGCTGGTCACCATTTCCTTGCTTTCTTTTCCATCTTTGTGGAGTGACACAGATTGATTTCCTCTAGCAATTCTTATTCATCTGGAGCCATGATACATACATGCAATAGACACAGAACATTGACCCCAAATCGAGAACGTTTACAGATCATTTTACCACCACTGTCATGCTATTAGGTTAATTGGGACTCATATGCATGCTCAGTTTTGTTTCAGCAATTACAGATGTTTAACTTGGGTGTCACTGATTACAAGTTTATTCACCTTTGTTGCACTGATTTTCTACTTTGGGGCCTGGATTGTCAATATCTTAATGCAGTATTTATTTATTTTTAATTCATACAGTTTTCAAATTTTGCATTATTTATAAGAGGAAATATTCTACGTGACAACGTAGAAATAGTGCATTACACATTGAATCATTTGACATTTAAATAATATTGGATTGTATGCTGTATTTATGACCTGTTGTGAAGCTAAATAAAACTTACTGGTGTTTGTAGAAGCTCCATCTCCTTTCTCCACAGAGGAGCGTCCCCTTTTGCGAATCATCTGCTGAAATATAAAAGTAAAAAGGTGGTTAAAAGCTAAACTAGGCTAGCATTCATAGGAAACAAAACAAGCTAACAACTGGACACCTCTAACGCTCGACATTACAGCTAACGACACAACATGCTTTATTTATGTATCGATATCGACAGAGAGTGCTGTTGGCTGACAGAATAATTCAGAATATAGGACAGATACATACGTTTAGCAGACAGACAAACCCACAGACGACCAGACTCTGAAGTTACAAAACAAACTTCCGCGCCAATGTGCTTTTACGTCATCACGTCACTGCTTTGAATTCGCGGAGTGTGGCAGCTTGGAATATACACTCTGTAGGCCGGAAGAGGCTTTAAAAATCAACTAATCACGATGTTTAGCAATGTTATACGTTTGTGTCTTTGCTAAAAGTGGCAGTCAACATTATAAAGACAATAAACATCATTTGCACGGGCTGTTCTAGTATTGGGTTTTAGGAATAGTTGTGAGGGCAATGTTAGAGCTCGCGGCTTTCCGGGATACGCCGTGAAACGAAACAAGCGACACTTGCGAAGAGTGGATTTTTTTTTAGCTGTTTCTGTGCTGCTGCTGCTGCTGCTGCTTCCCTCTTTAGCTCGTTTGTTAACATTAACCCACTAACGTCGTGATTTACAATATAAATAACAAAACAATGTATAGATTAGGTTCTTTATTGTCATTGTATAGACATACAACGAAATTTAAGTGCCCCGTGCTCGATAAATATATAAAAAGGAGAAATTTATTAAAAAGTGGAAAATATAAAGTAGAATTATGTTAAAATAAGTAATAAATAGAGCACATTATTCTCACACAGACACATGCACTGTTCAGTACCCTCACACTGCCATCCTATAAATTGCAGTCATTTCGTTATTGCACATTTGTGTCCATAGTAAAGTGCTGTAATGTAAAGTTATTGCATGTTAATGTATGCAATGCTCATTTGACTTATATTTTGTAACAACAGTCTTGTAACTTAAAATAGTCACTGAATAAATTAGCAGCAGGTGTTGAATAAGTGACTAAAGCAGGTGCTTTAAATCAGAGCTCATCATTTCCCTCAGACAGCTTCAAAAAATATGCAGCATTAACTCATGACATTTGCTGAGCTTTAAAGTTGTTGTTTTTTTTAACAGTTACTGTACTTGTATGCACAGAAGCCAGTTTCCCCCGACATGAAAAAGGGTGTTATCACTTTATAAGAGCTTTGGTTTGCTACATTATCCTCTTATAATTTTCTGTTAATCAGTCTTTTCTGTTAAGTACCTACACACCCAGTTAAAGTTCTTGTAAAATTAAACCTATTTGGCAAACAGATTTTGATTCCAAAGGTAATAAAACGGAATAAATTACTACATAAAAAAACACCCTGGGAAATAAAAAATATGGTATTTGAGTCAGAATAGGTCAAGATTTAGATATAGCGTGCGAGAATTGTGACACATCAAAAGATGTATTTGAGTAAGAGATGTACTCACTCTAACAGTTTAGCAAAATTATGGTAATAAGTTAAATATTTGCTATTGTAAAATTACACTGCTTTGAGTGCTTATAGCGAGAGACTTGACAAAATCATGCTGACTTGCTTCTAAAGCACAAAAAGCTGAGCTGGCATGATCTGGTTGGATATTATTTGTTTGCAATGGCATTGTTAATTTGCATAGTTATTTTTTTGTATTTTATTGCCAGATCTCAGTTATCTCAGGTATTAGCAGGTACGTTATGTTAAACTGCATACATGTTAGTATATGCCATTGTACTACTGTACATATACACAACAGAAGTAAGTACACCCCTGTGTGATATTGTTTGAATGTCAAATGATTTTAAATTCTATCACTTCTTAGTAACTGCATTATTTCTAAGCTGACAAGTAGAGTATTTCCTATTATAAGCAATTCAAAAATTTAGAAATGCTTGAAAACACAATCCTCAAAGTAGAAAATTAGCGCAACAACATGCAGTGAACACATTAGACTGGGTTCAGGGTGTTTGTCATGAACCAGAACTACCACAGTGAATGCATAGTCCTGGCTATGAAGCACAAAGGTGGCAGTGTGACAAAATGCAGCCGCAAGAGAACAAAAGCTGTTGGGAAGGGGTCGGCTGTGGATACACCAAAATACTGGCAGACAGGACTTCAAGTCTGCAGAAAGCTTGGCAGAAGTGCAATACTCCAGCATGATAGTGATTCAAAGCACACCGCCAACATTACAAGACTTTCTAAAGTAGATTTTTTTTTTTTTTTTTTAAAGTGGAAACTATGAATTGGACATGTGTGTCACCTAACTTTAATCTAATAAAACACCTTTGTGGATATTTTAAAGAGATGTAAATAGAGCAACACAAACTTTTTAGCAACAAACAGCTGATAAAAACAGTGCAACACTGCTTTCTTCCATGCTGAGAAGGATTTATCCTTATCAAAAATAAACGTGGACATATTAAGTATTGAAGAAAAAAAAAACCTCAGTAATGAAAGGTGACTTTCTTTGCACAGGGTTCCGACTGTGAGGCCTGAATTTTAAGTCTAAACTGTTCCTGTTTAATTTCACACAAGAGCAAATATTCTACTGTTCTACTCAGAATAATGCAATTACTGTAAGGTCATACAATTTTGAATGGATGTCAAACACAGCTGAGGTATCTTATGTTAATACTCATAGTTTTGCTTCCCTTGGCAGGTCCGTGCTGCAGGTCGCAGGGAGGGAACTATCTTGACAACACGAGCTCTTTGACGCTATAAGACTGGCAGCGGGAGCTGACGGAGGCTCAGAGCAGCGGCCGAGCAAGGTGTCTGGTATTCATAAGGAAGGAAGCGAGAAGAATAAGAAGAATGGCTGCGAAATTTTACGACCTCACGGCCAAGCTGTTAACGGGGGAAGCGTTTAACTTCTCCTCCCTTCAGGGCAAAGTGGTCCTCATCGAGAACGTGGCGTCTCTCTGAGGGACGACCAGCAGGGATTACACCCAGATGAACGAGCTCCACGAGCGCTACGCCGCCAAGGGGCTCGTGATCCTGGGAGTGCCCTGCAACCAGTTCGGCCACCAGGTGAGCATCTACCTGTTCCTTAAACTGTGGACTTTCATTGGGATTAGTTGTGTTTAATTCTTTAACTTTGCATGTTAGATACAATATTCCTGCCAGTAGCCCGCTTGAATGCAATCTAAACCTGCATCATGCATGTTTCCTCATATGAAGAAAGTTTTTTTTTTTCTTCTATTTGAAAAAAAAAACCAAACTGCTTTATTCATTCTGCTCATTTCCAAGTGTACCGATACGTTTTTGATTAAGGTTTTTGTCAATTTTTAACTGCATGGCCCATTTAATACAAATGTATCATGCATCTGCTTCCTCACATTAAGGAAGTTTTTTTTTTCTTAAACTTTTTTTCTTGTTTTTTTTTAAAGCTGCTTTATACATTCTGCTAATTTCCAAGTGTACTGACATGTTTTAGGTTAACTTTTTTTTGTTAATTTGCAGCTGTAACATCCATTTAATAAAAAGTTAAGTTCTTTTTTTTTTTAGTGTGAGTGCGTTAGTTGTCAGTTCTAAGTTTAGGAAGTGAGGAAATTGTGGTTGAGTGACAGGATCACACCTGATAACAACACAAGTTGTTCCTCATGTCACAATGCTTTCATTAATCATTGTTTCATCTGTGCAGACATTAAGCCAGAAAGAAGTTGTTTGTTGTAATAATATTAGTAACTGATTAATAGTTGGTTACTGTGGTGATCTTCAGTGTTATGAAGGCATCTTAGAAAATAGGAAGTGAAACAGTCAAGGAGGCTGATACTTCCTGGTTGAGTTGACAACTGAATAGACAAAGCCAGCTCTGTAAACAGACACTAATGCTGCGATCAACCCGTGCAGGAGAACTGCAAGAATGAAGAAATCCTTCTGTCTCTGAAGTACGTCCGTCCCGGAAACGGCTTCGAGCCAAAGTTCCAGCTCCTTGAGAAGGTGGATGTGAACGGAAAGGATGCCCATCCCTTGTTTGTGTTCCTGAGGGAGAAGCTGCCGTTCCCCAGCGACGAGCCCGCGGCCCTGATGACTGACCCCAAGCTGATCATGTGGAGCCCCGTCTGCAGGAACGACGTGGCCTGGAACTTTGAGAAGTTCCTCATCGGGCCGGACGGAGTTCCCTTCAAGCGTTACAGCAGGAGGTTCCTCACCAGTGACATCGATGGCGACATCAAGAAGCTCCTCAGTCAGGCGAAATAAATAATCCAACAAAAAAAAAAAAGTTAACCCATCCAACAGCTACTACTTGCACAAGCCTTTGAGCTCAAGTTCTCACTGTTCCTTCCATAGCTTCTGTAGATGGTGTCTGACACTTTACCCATGCCGCCTGTGCTCTCTTGTACATGATGACTACTGTTGTGTTCTTTCACTAAATGAAGACATCCTCTGAAACCACGTTGTGTGGAGGGTATCTGATGAAACGTAAAAGGCAGAACGTTTGTAGCTGCATTGGGTGCATGTAAAGCACAACCGCTGCGTGATGTATGACCAATAAATGTATTTTTTTTCACGATTTTCTGTGGCTGCCTCTGAATGAAGGTTCTAGATCACTCTTCTTAACCTAAACACAACTTCAACCTGAAACCAGTCTCCCAGAGTTTAAACAGAAGCTCCATTTCAACACTGTAATCACTCGTCTTTTCTGATGTATTTGATCTTTTTCCTCAAACATCATCTGAGGAGAAAAAGGAGTTATTGTGGGTAAAATACTCAGCAAATCACAGGTTTGCACACAGCAGCACTTAGTGTGATTACAACATGTTGGTTTTTTCCCTGCCCGCACCCAGTTACAGATTATAGTCCACTTAGCTAGTCAGCATGAATCGCAGGTAATTCAGGTTGAATCACCTGTGAACAGGAGGTAATGTTGCAATACAGACAGGGGGTGTTATGTAACGGCAACCTTGCGTAAGATCTTTAGTGTGGAGTTACAGTGCATGCATTTAGTCCAACCACACCAGCTTGTTGACCCTCCCAGTTTTTTTTTATTGTACTTTGAATTCAAATCCTTTTGAATCCGAGCGCAATCACATATTGCATCGTCTGCAAACAGAGTGAAATTTTGCAACACAGAAATGTGTATTTCACAACTAGCTCCTGTAGAGAACCACAGCTTTGGCATCAGGCTACAGTGCACTCAGTTAGTTCAAACAAACCACCTTGTTGAGGCTTCCAGTCTTTATTGTACTTTGAATTCAAATATTTCTCAGTTAAAAACAAAAACTGTAGATATTGGCAATAAGATAAATATGAGGACAGGAATTTATACACCTATTTAAAATAGTGTGATTATTTACATCTCTTCAGTTATTTTTGAATTGCTGTCATGATTTTCATGAGGAGGTGGGGGGGGAGATGAAGAAAACAAAGACTTTCTGCATTTTGGCAGGTGAATTTTGTTTTCAAAAAAGTATCTAGGATTACAGATATGATGTAAAGCTTTTCTAGTCATAGGCATAAATGATCATATTTAGGTAGTCATCTCTGAACGACATAACAATGGCGGGGCCGACCAGCAGACGGGGCACTTGGAGACCCTACATATTAACATGCCATTATGCAACAAAGTGCAGAAGTTATGCCACAGAACAAGACTCATGAGAATAGATACATTAAGTACTAACTGCCACCTGGTTTTACTAGAAGACCTTTGTTATTGAGCATAAGTGAATGCATTCTATTTTATTCTCAAGTTGATCACATTCAAGACACCTGTGCTTCCTGGGATTGTTTAATGTCTATTAAGACTACATTAAGATAAAATAAAGGGACTGTTCACTTGTAATATCACCAGAAAACAACTTAGATGTATTTGTTTCAACAGCAGAGTAGAGGACTAAGATCACTGGAAGGAAAACAACTGGCTCAAAATGACTGCATTCGGTGAGAATGCTGTTAAGGTACTGCTGTCCTACTCCCATTTGATGACACACAGAGATTGTTCCTCATGATTGGGAGCAAGTTCAAGTTTCATGAATAAAGCACCACTTTTATACTAGTTTATTTTGCTTCACTCAGTGTGCTTTGAAGATATCAAATAACATAGCCATTTCAATACAGAGCTGAATTATTGTACAAGACTAATAAGGACAAGCTATTGCAAGGTGAGCTAGGGGTCCAATCAGGCAGCAATCAAATTATGCTTAAAAGACACATTAAAATGATCTGGAAGTGTATGACAGACCATAACCCTTAATGCTAAGGCCAAACCATACAGTTCTGTCATGTCTAGATAGACCAGAAGCAGGTAGATAATGTACTCATGGAGAATTCAAAGTGCCTCCTTTTTTGTCAGGTTGCAGGAATTGAAAGGCCGCTTTTGCATTGTGATCAAAAAAAGAAAAGAAAAAAAGAAAATACAAATTGTTAGCAGGGTAAGACTCTTCTCATAAGTTTAGGGCCACAACGGAGCCCGTGCTGTGCGTCAAACAAAAAAATAATGGCCGACCATGAGCAAGCTCAAAAAAAAAAAAAAAAAAAAAAACACCCAAAAAACAGCTCCTGCCACAACTCATGTCAAGACCGAGATGTTAAAAACCATTGAAACAAGACATCCCCTCTGTGGTTTAGATCCCAACACAGATCCAGCAGGCCAGGAGCACAGCTGCCACAGCTACTCTGAAGCAGCGGGATCTCCTTTTATACCAGGATCCACTTAAACAGGTGGCATAAGGTCACAGGATTCTTTCAACAAGTGTGGCATGTATTGTTCTGTGTGCACATCACACTGTTAAAAGTTTGCATTCACCTCAGCACAGCAAGAATATTAGAGATAAATCTAGGCACGATGCCAGTGTCCTGCTAACATCCTAACAGTTGATTCATTTTTATCATAAATACGTTGGAACGCTTTGGTTGAAACAATATGTGCATTTGGCTTTTTTTTTTTTTTGTTTTTTTTAAAATATTTCTGACTGTTCTCGTGGGCAACAGAAACATTTGTTTATCTACGCATTTGAGGGCACTTCTAACATTCTGTTCATCCAGTGAGAGGATCTATATCCATTTATGTTCCTCTTAGTTCCAGACTAGTAAACTATGTTCAGAAATCAGTAGGCCACCCGCTGCAGGGAGGAAGTCTCTCAGTTCACTCTTCTGACAAGGCTGTTGGCTCTAGTTGACGACATACAAGACAGAAATCAAATAAAATACGGGGAGGGTTGGGTTAATAATGTTAAGTCTGTGGAATCCTCTGTCACTAAAGTAGCTTTGTGTGTGCGTCCGAGTGTCTCTATTTGCCGTATGCATTTCAGTGTGTGTCCCTTTGCGTCAGGGCTCTTCAGTTTGTGTCCATGTGGTCGTCGGCTGGCTCGGGGGCTCCTCCCAACGAGGCCGAAGGCTGAGGTTTGGAAGGGCCCTCCTCGTCTCTGCGCTGATAGAACAGCACGTAGGCTGCTTTAGTCTGCAGCGGGAAGATAAGGGTAAGATTACATGGCACGAAGAGGAACACCTGACACCACAGATAAACAGCCAAAACCGTTGGGGACTATCATCTTCATAATTAAGACGAAAAATAAGAACACAACGTTCAACATCTACTGCACCTCTGACGGTATTCAATGTTTAAGAGTCACTACTCACCACAATCTGGTCCTCTGAGGCAGACGAGACACTGCTGTCGTCAAAGTAATACCACTTTCCATCCACTTTATTCTTGCCGTAAGCCGTGTCTGTGAGACAGAGGGAAGGTAGTGTTAATGGACAACTATGCAGGCTTTTCCTTTCTTATCATACCAGCTCACTACAAACAGACAAAGCACATGCTCGGAAAAAAAAAGAAAAAAAGTTGACTCAAGTCCAGAGAGAACAATGACATGTGAGGCTTTTTGGTGTATTAAATTTTAACCGATTGCAGTGTCCATGGAGACGAAGCGAACACTTCGGCACCCCGTCTGTTGACACATATTGCACACGTTTAAAAGCTAAGCAAAGTGTTAGCACAAGAACTAGAGATCAGATTTATTACTAGTTAAAAATGTATTGGCCTGTGCCAACCTCTGTTTCTCATTGGATAAGAGATGTATTGATGAACTTTACACTTAGAAAAGATAAGGTATACAATGAGAGGTTTCGAAAAGGAATTTATAGAAGTGTGAGACCTTTTTTGATGAACCCTCCACACAGGTACAGCAGCGAATAAATAAATAAACTGACTCTGGCCCTGGAGATGCCTCTGGACATCTGACATTCCAGACCAGACTACAATGCTTTTACTTCATCTAGTGTCAGATACCTTTCTTCCCATTTTTTTTTTCTTCTTCTTTTTGATTTATTTTTAATTTTATTCATCAATGATCTATTACTATGTACATTATGGTGTGCTGATGGGTATATGCTGGAATTACACTGCTTTAACAAGGTAAAAGCAAGTCCATTCAACAGAGTGACAGTGGGGGATAGGGGCATTTGATGGGTATGATGTTCTTGTTAAATTTGTAAAATTCAATCAAAAGAACTTTGAAAGAAAGAAAAATGTAAAAGCCAAAAGTAAAAATGAGCTCTTTGTAATATGTTGCTGTTGAGTGATTTTAACTTTTGTTTTCCACTCAAGAAGAAAGTGTAATTTTAAAAGTATCAAACACAGAGAAGGTAAGGAAATAAGCAGCGACTCACAGTGACCTCCTCCCATTCCTCCATAGTGGTTTGACACTGCAATAAGGTCGTAGATGTAGGGCCCAGCCTTTGGGTCACACACAAACTCTGACATGTTCAGATCCCTTGCAAAGGAAAAAAAAAAACATCAGTTGGAGAAAACACAGGCAAGAAATGAAAAGGAACAAAAACCCTGCATTTAGGCCTACTGTATGATTAAGGCATCTTTAGTAAGCATGAGTCAGCCTTTTTTAAAGCAGGATTTCAGCAACATTTTCTTTGCTTCATGGTTTTTGGTGAATCAAGTTCCTCAACAGAGGTCAATATGTCCCACTCCAAGAGTGAGACATGTAGCTGTTAAGCCACACAACCCTGAGGCAACTTCTCTATTTTAAAACCCACTGAACCAACTAAACTAAAGGGGAAAAAAAAGGATTAATGACTCACAGCATTGAAGTGCAAAGACCATAAAGATAAGGGGCAGTAACAACACAGGGCTGATTACTCTTTGAAGTATGATGCCAGGTCTATGAGACAAGACTCCACTTCTTGGAAGGGCAATCACTATTTAATCGATCAGACCTCTGGTTGATTTCCTTTGTGATGTTTAGCTCCCTCTGCTGTTAAAGTAAAACTGATACCAGAGCATTTGCAGTTCGCTTGGCACAGTGTTCAAATGACCAGTATGATTCTTATTGTTTGTTTGTTTTTTTTAACAGAAGAAAATGTGCACAAAAACCAGATCTGAGAGTTTAGATTGTGGTTGTAACTATCTTGTGATATATGTCTTTTGCATTCTAAGCAACAAAAGTATTTTTAGATTCTGCTTTATCATCACTCCTACATGAGGTTACAATATTTACACGGCAGGAGTTTCAAGTCAATGCCAATTGGCTTGCTGTAAAGGGCTTTTTTTTTTTTTTTTTTTTTAAAATGATTTGCATTTTGCATTTATTTAATAGAGCAAGTAGGGAGAGAGACAGGAAATAAGAATAGGAGAAATGAGGTGTAACATCCAACAAAGGTCCTGGTGGTCAAGAATCCAACTAAGGACATTACTGTTATGTGGTATGTGCTCTAATTATTAGCCAAATACTTCTAGATAGTGTAAAAACGGAGAAGGAAAATTGCCATGGTTTTAGATAGTGATAAACAGAGTTGATTTTAGCAACTTTGAGGTTGGTTGTTGATTCTAACAGAACTACTTGGAATTTTCACTCTCAGTGATTAGATTGTAAATTAGCCACTGTTGTGAATGTAAGCATGGTTGGTTGTCCAGGGTGTACTCCACCTCTAGCCCAAGTGTTGGATGGGAGAGGTTCTAGCCCGCGCTCATAAGGATGGATAGGAGCATAGCTAACAGTATGATATGGTACAATCCATGATTAAAGGGGCACAAGATTTCCTTTAACAGCAACATCAAACTGCAAGTCTTTTAGAAATTCATTCAGAACAGTCTTCAGCTCCTCAACTACAAGATTAAAGAGAAATCCTGCCTGCATACCTGATGGGAAAGTCCACCACTGTGTCCAGCTTGTCCCTCCAACATCGATTGTAAGAGAAACGCTTTAGATGAACTACCAGAATGCGAGGCAGCGACCACAAGTCAAACTTTTTCGTGGCCTGTTGGTGCTTCTTACATGTTGGGCAATACCTACATAAAAACATGAAGTTGGGATGACACAGACAGTGGAAAAAGTGGAAGTTTGATGGTATGTTATGCTGAAGAAGCCTTACCATGGATCGTGCTCTCCCAGAGTCTCCATGGTTGTAAAGAGCTCGATGCATTCCCTTAGAGCCACGGTGGCTTTCTTTTTTTGAGGCTGCAGCATGCTCTCATGCTTCTCGTAGGCCTACACACAATACATAAACAATTATAAATAGACTGTTTGCATTACTGTGTCACAGAATTAACTGATGATCACTAACCCACTGACCTCTGCTTCCTGCTCATCATAACACAGTTTCTTTGACTCTGTGTCCCAGTCGATTGCCACCGTGGAATGTGCTGCAGAGAGAAGACGTGAGAGGAGCAGTGTAAACACAAGCAGCCTGTGAAAAGTTAAACTATCAGTCCAACTGTGGGTTTAAAATGTCAACACTGACGATTAAGCTTGAGAACGTTTCCATCACAAGGCAGCGGGCTGATGTTGGCTGTTCCATACGAGTTGACTATGCTGAAAGTGAAGAGCTTTGCCGAGTCTCCTTTGGACCCATTTTCCAAGTCAGAGGTCTCCTCCTCCTCTTCAGACTGACCGTTCTCTGGCTCTGGACTCACCTGGTGGTCCATGGCCTCCTCTTCACCTGAACAGACAGGGACAACAATGGCATCTAATTATTTCTGAATTATCTGTGCACTGCTCTTTGATCAATGTTTCCTTAACATTTGGTTAAAATTAGTGTTTGTTTATGTCAGCCACTTACCATCATATAGCCCATTAGTTTCATTGCAGGTCCCTGAGTGGTTGCTGCCATTACTGGAGCTGGCACTGCAGGAGGCCCCATCTGACAGGGGGCTCCCACAGCCACCCAGGCTGGCATTGAGACTAGATGATGTGGAACATTCAGGAGCCTGGTTGCAGCTGGCAAAGGTGGCTGAGGCCGAGGCCGATGCCCTGCTTTCACTATTTGGGCTCTGGGAGTGCTTTACATAGCGTCTGTAAAAGGAACAGGAAAAATTGTTAAACAGCAGCAAGAGCCAAATAATAAAAGAAATTCAGAAGTTCGAGAGAATTTAAATCATTAAAGTTATACTTGTCAGTTAAATGTCATAAATTAGTTTTCAGTTTTACCCCTCTTCCTTGCTAGTACACTGTAATGTGGCTTTATTTATTGTCATCCACACAGTAGCTTCTTACCCAATCCTCTCTAGGATCTTATCGTAAAGAATGTCTGCTATGAGGTTTTGTCTGGGCACGGTGATGAGTAAAGGCTGGCCAAAAAGCATGGTGCTTGTGGAACTCCCAGCATGCTTGGAGTGGCGCTCCCTGAAATATACAGGCAGATTCATCCTCTCACTGTCCTCCTCCTGTACCTCGTACCTGCAAAGAGCACCAACAAAAATACACAATGTATTCACATTAGGCTGCAACCACAGTGTCTAACTTCTAATCTTTTAGTCAATAACTGGTCAGTCAACAAGACTTACACAAAGATGTCATCTTTTTCCATGATTTGGTTGAGCCCATCATCCCGCCTGTAAATTTTGTGGAATCTATGATTGTAAACATCCGCCACCACCATCTTGAAAAACAAGCAGGTTGCAAATTTAGGTTGAATGAGATAAAACAAAAAAAAGTAAAGTTTGCTGTACAAAGGAGGTGTAAAAGAGTGAGGTTCTAACATTTTCTGGAGGGAATCCACAGAGTTTGGACAAGGCGCTGCACAGGTCTGTCACTGTACCCAGTTTGGGGACCACCACCCGATACTGGTAGACAAAGAAAAAGAGATTCGGTGTTCTCAATGTTTGATCTGCATCATTAAATACATTCAGAAATCAATCTCAGACTCAACAGCAAACAAAAAAAACAAAAAACAAATCTGTTTTTAAAAATCTGCATTTTACTATTACTTAGCAGGTACTAATTAGCATCAGTTCAATTGTGGGTTCAGGTCTAAAGCAATACGATCAATTCCAACTCACCTGTGTGGGTCTAGACTGAGGGTCTGATCGCACCAGAAAAACCTCCATGGTACGGTCCTTCTTCATGGGCAGAGGCAGTGTGAGGTAGCAGAATGGGTCAAAGGTTACAGACACCTTGGAGCACTCTGGGCACACCAATGTGGATTTGAAGAGGCCATGGAAAATATCAACTATAATGGAGTCATTGCGCAAGCGGTGGTTCGTCCATGCTTCCTTGGCAACAATCTGTAACCCCAAAACCAATTGAAAAAGATTTCAGTTAGATATTATTTTAAAACGTCAATTCATGATGAAAGTATGAAACTTGATGAAGCTATTGCTGCTCTTTTGTTACCATAAAACAGTCTAGATCAAAGCACACAATGTGACACTTCAAAACAAATACCTATGCTATATCTAGTTTTCAGAGTCTAGCAGTTATTGTAGCTTAGTAATTCTCTTTGAAATTTAAAGTAGATTTCAATTTTATATATCAAAACATAACAGAGCTTGGAGTGCTATGAAGACAGATATTTAAGGATCATTATATAACAGCATCAGACAGAGTCTTTCACTCTTTGGAGACAAATAGCTCATAAAAAAAATACCACAGAAGGACTACAGTTTCAAAAACAAGTATTATGTCATTTCTGTGATGTGCTATACCTCATCCGGACGGCCCTCTGCATCCCTCAGGGCCAGATAAGGCTTCTTCTTGACACGGTTCAGATCTTCATGGAGCCCATCGAGCAGAAAGGCCAACAGCTCCTGTGAGTCCTGCTGTTGGTAGCCTGAAAACTGGGGTGCAAAGCGTCCAACCTGGGTCTAGAAATAAAAAAGGTAGCTGTTAGATGCTTGGTCTGGAGAGCTTGATTAATCTGACTGGGTAATTTTCAATCTGTATGCATTCACTTCAAATAAAGCTGTCAGCTTCTGAAAGCTGATAAAGCTGACACGACTCACCTTAAAGGTACGAGGGGCCACATAGCTACTGCGGCTCAGCCACATCTGCTTTACTAGATCTGCATAGGCCTCTGCTATCTCTCCCCTCATTCCCAGGGGATTCTCTCTGTTAATCTCTGCCTCATACTGGTCATTAAGGAAGTACTCTGTGAGTGGAGATGCATTGCTCAGGCACTAGAGGAACAGGGGGAGAGGAGGGGAAAGTGGATTATATGAACACAATACCAAAAAATGTGGAAGTTGCAAATATATTTGCTATTTATTTTTACCTGGAGGGCAGAGTTCATGAAGCACGTATTTCCCAAATTACTGAGACCACACAGACCAGGCTGTGATTGTGACTCTCTGTAGTTGTAGGAGGAACTGTATGAATTGTAGCCCCCAAATCTGTTGGAAGAGCAGATGTGTTACTGTTTGTATCTTAGAGACACTGTGTAGGGATGAAGACAATACTTCAGGCAAATGTTTAAACATGGCATTGAAATATGGTACGTGGATGCAACATCACAGCAACAAAACACTGAACACTCTGAACACTGCATTTTGTGTATGAAAGGTACTACATGAATAAAGTTCATTCGTGTCTTTAGCATGTCAAGTACTCATGACACACACCTATATGAACAACTAATGCTGACCAGGCAGGCAATCAACACTACACTCTGATTGAGAAAAGATTGAGGATCACAGAAGCTCAGAGCAGTTATGTATTGTAATCCACAATTTATTAGTTTTTATGTATAATTAAATTAAATCCTGACGGCATATGCAAGTTCAGTCAAATGTGTAATTTTCCATTTGAAGCTTGATATCAAATCGTATCTGTAACAAATACACACGTGCATCTTTATTCAGCAAGTAAGCAGTTGTGGTATTTTTCTACTTGCACAGCTGTTAAAATGGGAACTGTAAATATTACTGCTACTTCAGGTCTCAAATCACTTCTTGAGGTAGTCAGGGAAAATCAAAGGAACATCAAAGCCTTTTGAAGTGCAGCCATTTCACAAAGTCAGCACTGAATTCAGATGTCAATTCTGCAGTTACGTTTTAATTCCCTTCAGACGTTCACTCTCAGTGCCTTAATACACTGTGCCTGGCTTAAGTGTGAGCATAAATCTTCCTCTGTATATCATATATTATGTTGTATGCAGGAACACTGCACAAAGTCTACAACAATTATCTTCATACTGAGATGCCAGTCGTATAAGCTAAACCCAATGCTAATTCAAAAGCTTTGCAATTATTTCCACATATTTGTTTTTGCTGACATACATACGGATGGGAAAACCATCACAACATTTTTTAAATCTAATGTAATCAGTCTACAGTGTGCAAAATGAAGTGGAGCTGAAAAATGTCTTTAGATGCAGCAAATGAGCTGGTAGTGTAATGGACGCTTACTGCCACAGTAACAGTGGAGTATTGCATCTTCCTCATCATGCCATAGGATTAAAATTATACAAAACCCTAAGGTATGTATCTGACACCAGGCTGCCTTCAAATGTGTTGATATGCTCTGTTACTCTGGGTGACACACTGTGCATGTGAAAGCAAACAGAACATTCACCAGTAAAAGCAAAGTTAAGATGAAAGAAAATGGAAAACATTAAACCAATGGGAAGTGAGAGTAGTGTAAGATAAGGTGACGTTATTGACAGAAGAAAAATAATGTGCTGTGTGTAACGGTAAATTATTCATTCTTCCGACAACAAAGAACCTCAAAGACTAACATACTGATTTATTGTGTGTCTGAGAAGCTAGAGTGATGTGTTAAGATCTTCTTTAGTCACCTTTACAACACATGAGATGCATGAGAAATATAAAATGTGCAAGATTTTTTTCTACTTGACATTAAGACTTATAATATTCAATGTGTCTTTAACCAAGGTACAATGTGAGAGTACAAGAGTTGAGAAAGTAAGTAATAAACAGAATAAAAAACATGTTTTCCAAAGCCTTGTAATCATCGCTGAAAAGAATAAAATCAATGAAGACGGCTCCTGTGCCTTGCAGGCTATACAGTACATATCCATGAAAGGGAAAATGTAGGCATGGACAAAGAAAGAGTGAAGGTGGAACAAATGAGAAAAAATCCCTTGCCTGTTGCTAGATGAGGTGCTGTTGTTGAGCGTGTATCCAGGGCTACAGCTGCTGTCTCCATTAGTTACTGTTGAAGAGATACTGACTGATGAGTTTGAGGAGAGTTTTGGGGAGGTAGTGAAGTTCCTTGATGGGGTTGTACTGGATCTGGTGAGCAGAAACAAAAGCATGTTTCAGAAAAGAACACTTTTACAGGTTACCTTAAACTTTTAATCTTACGTAAACTGATACATATTTGGTCAAATGCTCTAAAGATTCTAATTCAGCACACAACTTGTGTACCTTCTCACAGATTTTTCAATAAAAACCACAAGGGGTTTGCTTACTTGGGATGGGATGCTTGTCTGGGCCATGTGCCATCCTCGTTTTTGCGCTCAATCACAAGCACCTGTGGGAAAACAAGATGAATGAAAAACAGAGCTTGGAGAACTGACCTTCATGTCAGAGCTGTCACGTGGTTTGAGTTATATGTCCCCAATGCTGCCATGTTTCAGCAGCTGCAAGCAGGTTAATTAAAAGCAGTTTTAATTGTAATTAATATGCATACATTTGAAGCTTTTTTGCTCATTCTAAAAAATTGTGGACATCTCTAATATCCTAACAGGTGCTGTTATGGATCTGAAGTTCAATGACTGCTGTGGTAAAAGGAGACCAACCCTGGGGCAGATTTATGTGCAGGGGAAGCAAAATATTTGTGAGACCTTACATTACCCTTGCAATACAATGTCATTATAAGCTTCGCTCTCAAATATCAAAGCTGAATTACAGTCTGACCTCTCTTTGACAGTCTGAACAAGAATTAAACATCATAACTTTAACCAGACATATTTTATTCTCAGGCTAATGTACTGCATAACATTAGGCTCTCTGGTGTTCCTGTTATTAAGTGCAATCCCTGTAAATGAATTATGTATGCACAATGAGTACCAGTATGTTACCAGGATGCAAAAAGTTATGTGGTCTATCAGTAATCTCAAGGTTATTTGAATAGCAAAAGTGTTTACACTACCTGTCCCTGGAAGAGACCAGCATCCTGTACAGTGCTGTCTGGCTTGTTCAGCTGCTCGTAGGTGTTGCTCATGTATTTGTTCCAGAGCCTGGTCTCCTTCTCTGATGGTATATTGAACAGTGTCCTCATCTCCTTCTCTATAGTATCTGGAAAAATGGGATAAGATAAATAATAATGGATAGACATCGACATTTTCGTGTGCATGGAGCCATTTCTTGGGTTATTTTCAATGTCAGCTGGTTGCCTTAAGCACACAGATTGAAACCATAGAATATTCATGTAAACCCTTACCTATAGTGTCAGCTTTACTAAAATGACGTGTGACCACATTGTCCATATTGTCATTCTCACACAAGTTCAGCTCCAGCAGATAGACCTCCACTTTACAGTGCTTCACAAACATGCCATGTTCAACCACCTAAAGAAGAAAGAAGATATTTGGAAGCCCAGTCCATGCATTATGGTTCATGCTCAAAATGAAAAAATACCTTCAACAGCATTACCTTCCTGACAATAGGTCTCTGGCCCTCAAGGCAGGCGTACCAGCTGACAAGCTTATTCCATGCCTCAGTGGGCACAAGGACATAGTCCAGCTCATCTATAAGGTGCTCTTTCAGGGCCTGAGTCTCCTGGTCTTTAGGGGAAAAAAACAAAAATAAGTACAGGCTGGAAAATACAGTTCTTTTAATAGCAAAGGGGGATTTACTGTATTCAAAGTAGAATCAAAAATAACAGTTTTACCTGAGAACAGTCCAGAGTTATCAATTGGTCCTGGATACAGGCTACGTTCTCCGACATTGTACATATCCCAGCTGTCAAACCCAACGTACTTCTTCCATTGTTTGAACCACCGACTGTCTATTAGATACCTAAAATACATTGATAGGGGACTGTTAGTGGCAAACATATCACACACTGAGAAACTTGCTTGTGTCTCATAAAAGCTTTAACATTTATAATCTTATAAGTGACTTTTTCTCCTAGACAGGGTCAAGCGATGATAAAAATGCATGGGTATAAGAGAGACACTGTACTCTGCCCTATGCCATCCAAGAACATTATGCAACACCAAAATGCTTTGGCATTTGCAGATATAGTAACACCAAGCTAGTTTGACTTAATCTCATCTAAAAAATCTCCTTTCACTAATAGGCTTGTATTCACAAAGCAAGCAATCACATGGTGATTCACATAGTTGGGTCATGGAGCTCTTTTTTTAGTGTGAGCACTGTGTAAGTATATGTCATTTGTCCTTTAACTAGAGATTAATTTGGCCAAGCTGTTAGTATACATAGGGAACCTCAACTTGAGAGCCATGGGTGGTAGTTCATTCCTAACAGCATAAAACATCAACTAAATGCACTACCTGACTAAATGAAATCACTGTATAAAACCGTAAGTTGAGTAGCTTGTAGCTGTTTTAAAACCGATTCCTTTGCTGCCGAATTGCATCAAATAAAGTAACAGAAATGCTTCCTCATTTGACATTCCTGTACTGTTTATTTCCTGAGCTGTAGCCTCTTTAATACCTTGGTTGCATTATGCTCCGGCCTGGATCTTCTATATGGTCTGAAACTATGTTAGCTAACACAGGTGGCTGGCCAGTTAGAATCCGTCACACAATTTAAACTGGCATGCCACTACAAGCAGATAACGACATTTCGTAATAATCTTGCCGACGGGCCTCTTCCCCGATCACAACTCAGCATTAACGAGCCGGTTTGACTGGAAGGAGAACCTACAATCTGAAAGTAGGGCCTAAATTACTCTATCAGCCGACTAGCTACCACCACATCAGCTAACATCGCCCAACTTCTCACAAAACAGCCATTAAGGTACAATTATTGTACAAATGAGCCACTTGGGTAGCTGGTTTGGTTGTTTACGACCAATGTTGATGCCTATTACTACAGCCGCCACTCTTAGCAGACGCATTTTAAAGTCGGGCTGACTAGCAGCTAGCGTGCTAATCTGTTAAACATTAGCCTGCCAAAATATCAGTAGCACAGCAGCTGTCGATTTCAGACCCATCGCTGTCATTAGCTTGCTAGCGTTAGCATGTTAGCATTTCCTGTTTCTCACTAGCTAACGCTGGCTAGCTTTAAACACCCCGGTAACGTTTGGCCGCTGCCGCTTCTTACCATTCGTCGCCCTTCCTCAGAGTTGTTTTCAAAAGGGACCCAATTGTCTGTTTTTGACTCTCAGTTGAAGGAGTTGGCATTTGCGCGGCTACCGGCTCCGAGTCGGAGTCTGCCGCGTTGCCCGACTCGGGTCCGCCTCCCTCGGCCATCATGCAGCCTGTGTGCCGGTATCGTGAACGCGCTGGAAGAGACGCACTCGGGCGAGCCTCAGAGTGCAGCTCATTGGAAACGTCCTTCTTCCTCGACGGTCGCTGCTCAGCGGAAGAGAGCTGCTGTTGCACTCCAGCGTTCAGTCCTCAACACTACCAGAGCAGAGGGTCAGCAGTGGTGTCCAGGGGCCTGTTCCAGAAAGCAGGTTTAACAAACTCTCAACCCTGAACTCTGACTTGAACGGATTTTAAAGTTGTCTGCAGAACACGTGAGTTTAATTGATGTTGTCGCTGCACGAACATAATGAAACCTCAATGGAGCTCCAATACTATTATTCACCATGGCAAGGAGGAAGTAAGAGGTGCAGTGCAGGTGGAAATATCCATGTATGACAACGCATATTTATCCTTAATAAACAAAAAAAACAAACAGCAGCAATAGCAAAGAGCCTGAATAACACTATAGTTTATTCCTCTTATTTAACAGCCTTGATTTCCTTATCTGAGTGTTTATCATACATGTAAATATACAAGATTTAACAAATCTATATATGATTATTCGGCTGTAACCTAACAGGGACAAAACACTTACATATTGTATGGCGTCTGTTTTGGCAATTAACAATTGGAAGAAGTGGCTAGATCAAAACTGAATGTGTCTTTTACATTTTATTTTTTTTAAATCAGCTATATTTTAACCTATAATAAATGTAAACACAACTTAAAAAACGAAACCAGAGGAAAGCTCAAACTACAGCTTATAATCAAAAATGTACTTTCAAACTATGTTTTGCCTGTTTTGTAAAGTCTTAAATCTGAAGTTATTTCAGTCTCACTAACATTCATCCTTAGGTAAATCCAGTAAATGTTTCACTCAAGGAGAACTTATTGATTACCATATCATTGTCTCTGTCCTTTTATAATATATCAACTGATTAGTAAGAAATGCATTAACACCTCATTTTTGAAAACTGATTTCCAAACTGAAATATTATCAGTTTGCATATTTTAAAAAAAACTTTTTGATATATTGCAACAAATAAAACCAGATTTTTAGTCAAACAGATTTTATACTGTACAAAACACAAGGGAGTTACATTCCAAAACAAACTGTCTAAATAATTCAGAAACACAATTTTTCAATCACAAAAACATGTCCTCTTGCTAAAAACTAACTGTACTTGGGCCTGCTTTCGCCTTTAGACAGCTGACACAAAACAGCTGATCTATCTTGATCTATTACCTTATAGCATTCTGATGGCATAAAGTTGCAAGCCAATAATAATGCTTTTCAATACGCAAAAAGTCACTTAATATCTCCCAAATATCTCCTTGTCTCAAAGATGACACAACAAAGCAATGCTTTCTAATATGCATGAGACAGCAGCAGAACCAGTGTATTTTAAGTCATTTCAGATAATTTATGGACAGGAATGGAAAGGTAAAGACATGTGAAAAGACAATGACCACAAATTAGTTGATGTAAACTTTGCATAATATGAGGGGATTTGTCCCACTTGTGTGGTTTTACACAAAAACAAATCCCTGCAATGACCAAACATTAAATTGAAGGCTCCGAGTAGAAACGATTAGGCCATCAGAAGATACCACTGGGGAGCTCCTTGCTAAACATGCCATCAAAGTCCAGCTCCCTGCTCATCAGATCCTCCTCTACGCTCTCCAGCGCCCACTGATGGTCGGTCAGCTCCAGTGCTTCCCACTCAGCCTAAAATCAAAGACAAACACCACATGAAAAAACAACTACCGTTGCCAACCCTCAGTTGCTCATTATCCTGACGCTATACTACATACTTTGAAAGCTTTATTCGTGTCTGCAGGCATGGCCATGGCGGCACCACTCATTTGCTCCTGCATGATCCTTGACTGATCTGCTCCTGTAAGGAATGCATCACATAGAAAACACAATCAGCTTCTGGGAATGAAAAATACCACGTTCTTCACAAAAGATATTACAGAAGTCAGACATTACCATGTTTCACCTTTTGCCAATATTTTCATTTTGTCATTAAATGTCCCCATTCGGCACAACAAAACACTTCAATCATCTTTCACTTATCTAAACTTACCATTATCTTGGCCTAGAATTAAGGAGTACATGCTTCGAAGTCCAAACACATTCAGGAAATACCATGACGCTGAGCTCACCCTAGATAATAAATGCACACAAAAACAAAGAGCAAATCACAGGAAGGTCATACACTAGCTTAAGCATTTGAGAATATTACATAATGACTGAAACAGTATATGTCCGCAGATCTCATTTTATTGGTTTACCAGGAAGCATCCAGTGAGAGCAGCTCGATTCCTTGCTGCAGCATGGGCTTAAAGCGCAGCGTGAGAGGGAAGGGAACCTTAGCTGTGTGAAATAAGAGCACAAAAAGAGACTCAGCGTATAACTCCAATGTAACATCACTGATATCTTTGAAAAGGTAGAATAGAATGTTGCTTCGGTATATGATGCGATGCAGGCTGCCACATCTGTGAGTGAGAAGGATCATTACTTGTTACAAATCCTGAAAAGGTCCAGTTGATCCATCCGCCGATGAGGATCATGGGAAGCACATTGGTCACATTCCCTTTCATCATGTCTGTCAGCATGCTGGGATCTGTGAAGATGTGCAATGAGCAGCACATTGACTCAATGTTGAATGTGAAGAACAAAGTAAGTTTGCTGCACTATGAGAAGTCAGTGAGTCATATAACACACGTACATAAAGCACCAGCCGTTCAAGACCTGGACACATATATTCCTGAACACTTTTCTACACACGAGCAGAAGCTATTGCTTTAGTCTTGATGTACAGAAAGAGGCTGAAGTTGAAGTTACTGGTCAACCACATCTGCAGTATTTGTTCTGAAATGCATCTATTTCTCCTGCAGACTGTAATAACTTCACACAGTCAGGTGGTCACGAGGTCCAAGTAAGTAACCCTCACATTTAGCAGACTCCACCTCATGTAGAAGCACCAGTCGCTTGCCCATCCTGCAGAATCTGGTCTCAAGAGTGCAACTAATACATGTTAATAGCCAATCCTATATAACAGAGCCAACATCATGCCCTCCTGTACCTAGGTTATAACTTACAATTATTTCAACTGTCAATCAATCTCTATTATTTCCTCAGTTAACTCGTTCGTTGTGCAGTCTACAAAATTAAAATTGTGAAAAGCGTTGATCAGTGTTTCCCAACTTCCAAGATAACATTCTGAAATGTCTTGTTTTGTCCACAACCCAATAATATTCTATTTATTGTCACAGAGGAATAAAGAAATCATCAAACCTTTAATTAAAGAAACTGAAATCAGAAAATCATGACGACTTTTCTGTTAAATAATTACTCAAAGCACTGAATTGATTATCCCAATTGAATAGTTGTCCACTAGTAGATTAATCACTGCAGCTCTGCCTGTGCCTGGGTTTCAGTCTGTTGTGAAGTCCTGAGTTAGTCTGCGGTTTGTTTTCATACTAATCGGTTTCATTGCATGAGATCTCTCAGCTGTCATGGACATAACTTTTTTGTAATATATTAATTAAGACACAAAAAAATAAAATGCCAGTACCAGCAACATGATATACAAGAATAAGACTCTTTGCGGTAAATTAATACAGTAAAAGTCTGTTCCTTCATTTGGTTTCAAGTGGGGTAGCATTTAGCCATGTAAGAACAGACCTAACTTAAAATCTTGCCTTTAATCATCTCAATAAAACTGACATTTCTGCTCAACATAAATTATCTTCATTAATTTGTTTTGATTATTGCACTGATGGTTGCATCAGAGTGCAACCTGTACTTAACCTAATAGGTTTACCTGTCATTGGAGAGGGTGGAACCACCTTTCTTTTGGTCTTCTTAAAAAACCCATCTTCTTGATTATTGAAGTAGAACTTCCTCATCAAAAAGGACTGAAACACAGAGAGAGCTTCAGGAACAGCATAATCATGGAAAGAGCAATGGTTTTGCTTTTGTGTGTTGTGCATATTTAAGTATATTGTAAGTAAATAAAATTGCATACCTGTTTGGGAATGTATTTTCCATTTTCTCTGAGAATTCTGCTCCGAATAAGAACCTGACTGGATTTGAACATAAAGCAACACATGTTTCATTAGTGCATCTGTAAATGCTGCATGAATGGGATCCACTTTACAATCACAGAGTCCGTACCTGTCAGAGACTTGTTCCAACGTCAACTTCTTGTCACTTTGAAGAAGAATGGACACATAATGGCGAATGACCCCGACTAGAAAGGTGATGAAGACGATGGGCAACACCACCCACAGTCGGATATTGGAGTCCAACAGAAGCTCCGGCTCAGCCATTCTGCCTGCTGGCTTCACTGGACAGTCACAAACACTGCAAAATTGGTTTGAGGAAAAGGTTTTCGGTGGATAGAAGGCAAGTTTTATTTTTACTCCGATATAGTGTTAACTGTTGTGAGACCTGCTTATTGTAAAAGGGAAGTACATTTCTAAGAAGCATTATGTCAAGCTAGCACTGACGTACAGAGGGATGGGCTGTAGCTTGCTAGCCAGCGACCTTAATGCTAACGACAGATATTAGGCTAACTAGCTCCCGTTAAACAACACATCATCTAAACTCAAACACACAGTGTGGAAACTATCTATTAAAAGCATTACCAGTCGTGTATGCAACTTCAACCGTGGCTAATCAAAGCCGACGCTAGCGGTGTGCTAATGTTAACGTTAGCCAGCAGGCTACCTTCTTCCTGATGTCCGGGTCACAGTCGGTGAGAGCAGGCGAGCCGTCCGTAGTGACCAGCAGCTGCGGTGTTTCCTCCCGCCGCGACCAGCCGCTACTCATGCACCGTGTGAGGTAGTTTCAACCAAGGTAACAATCTTCAACAGCTCGCATCCACCGCCACGGTCATCGCGCTGTGTTGGCTCCAGGGATGAGAGCAGATTTCTGCTTCTGCAGCTCATTCGCATCTCACTCGCCGGGACTGCAGCGCCTCCCCGCGGTGATGGAGGAGGTGCCCGCAGGAGCGTGCGTTATTCTCGGCCACTGATGTCCTGAGCGCCCGGTGTTGCAGTCGGTGTTCCATCGGTCGGCATAGAGTTGTTGTATCGCAGTAACAAAGTCAAGGAAAGCAACCAGAACTCGGTCAGACAGGAAAACCATGCGCCTCATGTGTTTATGTAAAAATAAACTGCAATTAATAGACTGGGAATTAATGATAGATTTAGTTTATTCAGTCATTCACAAGTAAAATCAAGAGAAATACGTTTATTTTGTGTTCTTACATTTGAAATAATCATAAGCTTAATAAAAATCATGAATTAACATCACGATGTAAAGTATTTTATTTGAATTTCCTACTATATAATGTGCACGTTCCTGCACACTATAAATATTGTATTACTTTTTATTACCTATAATCTCTCGGAGTTGCTACACTTACATTATATTGACTTGCAATCATTTGTAAAAATTCTTCTTGAATACTTTTCTGCTTGTCACTGTTTAAAACTGATTCAGATCCTGATACATACCCCAATAACATTTTTAAAAATGATTTTCTATACTTTATCAATCCTACAAGGGGATATTCTGTTTTGGCATATGCCGGCATGTTGGGAAGCTAGGTTCAGAGCGCAGGGTCACACAAACTAAGCTGCCTCTGAAGCAAATAGGGTTAAGGGCCTTGCCCAAGGGATTATTAAGAATAGGAATTAGGTTATTAATGGTTTAATGCAAATCTGGAATAGAATAGATTAAAAATGCCAGTGGCCCATATCAACAGAATGCAAGATCAATGTAAAGTGAAATGCAATTGAAAGAAGTTGAAATCACAGTCTTTATCAAAAAATGTACTTTGAAACTATGTGTGCTCCAGATGTAAATTCTCAAGTCATGAATCTTGGTCATTCCATCCTGACTAACAGTCATAATACTGGGATTTTGGTTGGAACAGAACAGCTGCTCTGTCTATGAATACTAAACATGTTTTCACATGAAATGATTGGTCTCATCTTATTACTGTACAGTGCCAGGGACAATCTGCAGAAAAATACACTCAAAGACATCAACGCTAAGATCTGATAAGAAAACATTAACATATAGGTTAGATGCTACATACAGTCATGAAGGTGAAACATTGTGCAGTCCCAACAGGTTTGTACTCAGAGGACCATTGTTTGTTTTTCAAGAACACACCTCTGTACTCTGTAAGGACTATTTAAACAAAAAAATGTGTTTCTTTTTTTTCAAACCCGCTAAAAAATAAGTGGATCTGTCTTCTGTGGCTAATTTTAGCAGCCTTACTGAGACCCATTCAAACACACCACAGGCATCTATCGTTTCTTATCCTGCAAAGTTCAATTAACATCTAGTTTGACTTTGATGTTCATTGCTGCAAGCTCCACTATGAAGTAACGGGAGACATAAGCTGCTCCCATTATGCTGGAGGGTTTAGACTGTGCTAAGAGTGTGAAGAGTTGTTAACAAAGTAAAATGTGGCTACTTTGAGAATACCTTGCAAATGTTTAAAAAGAAAGAAAGAAACAAAAAAGTGGATTTAACTTTTTTGTTGTGTTTACTAAATAATTCCATCCTTCTATTAGCTATACCTGCATAACCTTGTGGAGGTATAGGATGCTGGAGACTATTCCCAATTTAAAATCTTCAGTATTGTGAATAGAACTGTACAACGTGACTGATAGTGAATATTAGATAATCCTGGGTGTGAGTGGGTGTGTCCAAACCTTTGACTAGCAAAGTTTCAAGCAAAAATTCACAAGATGTACACGTATATTTACAAGGCGACAAAAAGGGCAAAGTTACCTGTATAGATGATCTAATAAGTTATATGTATTGAATAAGAAGTGTGCCTAAGTGAACAGAATTAGAGGCCAATTAAATCATTAAAGTCCACAATTTTGTATTCAACTAAATGTAAAATCCTGGAAAAGAGGCAAACTTGTTACTTATGTATAAGACTAACTTTTATAAATTTTATTTAGAATTTGTACTTACTTTAACCCCAATATAATGTTACAAATGCAGAAATAATTTTTGATTTTTTTTAAAGCTGCCAATTCATCCAGAACTGATGAATTAAGGCCAAACTTAAACTTTCACTGTAACTTTAATGTCACTGGTATTTAAATTCTTGAAGTCAAATCACCAATCATCAGGGATGTTGAGCCTATAATAGTGAGGAATTCATTTGTGGGGATGTTTTCCCTCTGAAGTCCTACTTACCCTGATTTACCCTTCTGACATTAACAAATACATGTATTGCCGCACAACTGTATATGAATTTAGCAAGTTACTCCAAAAGAAAGTTTTCTGTGGTCACATGAGCAAGAATGTAATAAAGCATGATTTATTCTCATTGATCATGCTTTATTACATTTATTTCTGAGAATAAGTCATGCTTTATTACATTCCTGCTTATTTATTTGTTTGTTCACTGTGTTGAATCTTTAGTTATTTTCTGTGTTGTTAATCCACCAGTTGTCAGTTATCACGTGTCATCAGTAGGTGGGGCTAATGCGCACTGTGCTGTTTTCTAACGGTGCTTTACAGAAGAAGAAAAAAACAACCCTGTACTCGCAGGTCAGCTGAAGAGCTGGAAAAACTTCTAGAAACCTTCTGGTATTTTCAGGTGTTCATCATATTTAGCAAGTTGTGTCATTAAAACGGTATGTAGCATTGACGCAGGCGGGATTGCATCTCTTGTCTTGTGTAACTTGTGCTAATTTAGTCGACGTAACGCTAGTGTATTCCTGCGGCTAGCCGAGCTAATTGTTGCTAACTGCCAGCGAAGGATCGCTGGACTGTCGACAAAAACAAAAACAGTCACGTCCGAGCACTGCGCGAGTTGTAGAGCAGATATTTGTGCCAAGCTAATCTCCATCTTAAACAGATTAAATAAATATATTCCATTTTTTTGTCAGTCGTTTTATACAAGGCCTGAGATGTGCCTAGCTTATATCCATCTTTAACCTCAACCCCCACCTATGTTTACTGTGACACCTTGACTTCATTCCTTATTGTGTTGTATGTTCTGTGTTTCATTATTTTATTGTGCCTTTGTCCAGATTTGTCTTTTTACTGTGTCTTATGTGTTGCTACTTTTTTCATGCTGAGTCTTGCTTTTAAATGTGCTTCATAAATACATTTGCCTCGACTTATGTTAGCTACACAAAATAAACAAAGTATCGTGAGATTTTGAGGTTTTGTTGCTCTGACTGGTGCCAATTTTTAACAGTAAATCAGTGGCTTTTTTAAATATTCCCACAGATTTTCTGCTCTAACGTGTGTCCTACACTCAACCATGGGAACTGATAGGAGGTAAGCCACACATAGTCTTTGTAATGTGTTGGCACAAGTCTAGTGTACTCATATATTTATGTTATTGCCACTTTTTTCTTTTTCAGGCCCAGTCGTGGGGAACGTAGTGGGAGGTATGGTTCGGACGGGAGGAGAGATGATCCAGAATGGTATGACAGGCGAAGCAGAGATATGGAGAGGGATTACGATCGACGCTGGGTTGAAGATAGACACAGAGAACGCTTTGATGAACGCAGAGACCGAGACAGTCCAGAGGTAAGTGAATAGGAAGTCCTTTGTAAACTCATGTTACTTGTAAGCCTTTGGCAGAAGAATACTCAACAACTCAACATCTTGGTTCTGAATTTGATCAGCTTTGTTTTTTTTTTTGGTCTGCAACAGAGGGGTCGAAAACGACGCAACAGCGACAGATCAGACGATGAATATGATGGTGATTACCCAGAGCAGGACTACAAAACGGAGCAGGAGGAGGAGAGCAAGACTATCATGCTAAGGGGTCTCTCTCCCCATGTCACAGAGGATGATGTAAGTTCACAGTAATCATCCAGCTTCACTCATGCTTTTTAAGGGTAAAACCACATCAAATGAGGAGCCAAGTCTTCATTTTTCATGAGCAGCAGCAAATCCATGTCCAAGTTTGATGGGATTACAGCCAGAAATGGGCAGGCACTTGCTTTGGGCAAATTTCAAATCAGCAAACTTACATGTAATAGGTGTGAAAGTCTCTTGTTGTAAGCAGAAACCAGACCTCAACAATCTTTGCAAATTATAACGTGTAAATGGTTAAAATCAAAGGAAGCTCATGTGCGGATCTGTTTTATTTCCTTACTGACACTGCAAAAGTACTTAATCTGGCACGGCAATCTATCCATCATCAAGCAGCTAAAGGTGATGGCTGCAGTCTGCATTCAGTCTGGCTTCACTGTACATTTTTAGCATCTGTACTGGCAATTTGTAGAGTTGAAGAAATTCACCTTAACTGCACTTTTTGTGACTCGGAAAAGAAGACAGCTTAAGCACTAACTTGTTGTAATGTATACGGGTAATTTAAATGTCAGGAAAACGAGAAGAAAGAACCATAACTGTATTCAGATAAGTCTGACCTTCATCTGCCTCCATCTTCCAGATTCGCACAGCACTCGAGCAGCTACAGGGACCCCAGCCTGTGGACATACGTTTGATGAAGACAAGGACAGGTGAGTGTGCGCTGTTCAAAGGAGTGTCTCTCAGTCAACTTCTATGCTCTGTCTTGCAACCTGCTTTACCTCCTTTATTGCTATCCCTGAAAAAAAAACAAGACTTATATTAAATGGTCAGAGGATCCTTTCTGTTGCGTACAAAATCTGGTCTGATGGTACAGTCAGGTAAGAAGGTAATTGTATGTACGACATCTTTGGCATTTTTGTACAGACATGAAAAGCTATGATAAACAAATTCTACCACCAACCCCCTTGACCTTGTAAGCACCCCCCCAACCTCCGTTTTACGTTAAAACTGGACTGTACAAGCCCATTGTAAGTTTGAATGTTATATCAAAGCATTCTAACTAACACGCCTCCCGTCTATATTTGAATGCTGTCTCTAGGTATAAGCCGAGGTTTCGCCTTCGTGGAGTTTTATCACTTGCAAGATTCTACCCGATGGATGGAGACCAATCAGGTTGCCTCAACAATCACCAAGTCTAGAATTATTCTTGGAGATTAGAGCCCAAATTGACTAACACCATAATAATGATGCCATTTTACAGAGCTGAATCTGTTTGTGTGTAGTTAGAGAAGCTTGGTCATTCAAATCTGTGGTACCAGAGATCATAGTTTTGATTTCACAGTTGATTCATTTTATTGTAGCATAGAGCAGACTGTTTCAGCAGCTTATTTGATTTAAGTTGTAGACTGCAACACCATTGTGTAAGGCTCTGGCATTTGAAAATGCAATACAATCTTTTGTATGCTCTGTAACAAATCTTCACCAAAACACTATGCAGAAGTTATTCAGCTAAATAAGCCTTTTGCCTCTACTTGTGGAGATTACACTTTCTATTCACAGAGTGGCCCAAGTGGTCTTGTTTAGTGCTGCCTGCCCTGTGGTTTCATAGCACACTCTGCTCCAGCTCAGTCACTTGGATAGTTTCTCATCTCCATTTAACATCCGAAGACTGGAGTGAGACATGGACGAGCTGGCAGCACTCCGGTCCCAAACACATAGAAGCTTTTTTTTTTTTTTTTGAGACCACATTCCCTCATACTGAGGACTGCAGATCTCTCTCTCTCTGAACTTCTCTTTCTGTCTCTGTTCCCTTTTACTCCCCGAGAAACTCCACCTAAGCAGCGAGTGTAAACCTAGCCACTCTTTCCCGTTCCAGCTGCTCTCACTCACTGGGTGGGGTAGTGGCAGGACCTCATCTGCCTCTTTTGTCTTAAACGTGTGGGATTTTGATATAACTGATTGCCTTTGACTTCACAGAACAAGTTGGTGGTCCAGGGGAAAAACATTGCAGTGCACTACAGCAACAGGAAACAGAAGTTTGAAAATTGGCTTTGCAATGCTGTAAGTGTTATTTCTGAATGCATTGTGATCCAAATGTGTGTGTGTGTGTGTGTGTGTGTGTGTGTATATATATATATCTTATTGCTGCTTTTTATACTCTAAACACAGTTGCTTGTTATTACAGTGTGGGCTGTACAATTTTCGGAAGAGGCTGAAATGTTTCAGGTGTGGAGCAGCAAAAGTTGGTGAGTAAACACTAAAGTATAACTTTGCTTAATCTCTGCCAGAAGTCTGCAGCTCTGTTTTGCACAATATCAGCGGCTTGTGCTAACTTGAAAGCTATATGTCACTCTTTGTCATTGCTGAGTGTAGGAGAGTCCCCTGGAGCAAATGGTGTAAACGTTGAGTCTCAACAGCCGGGAGAATACAGCGGAGACAGTGAGTGTGTTTGATGCCACATTTGAAGATATTACTTCTCTCCAATACACATATTCTGCTTTTATTAATGACCATTGTTTTCATTCACAGCAATAATTTTGAGGAACATTGCCCCCCTGTCAACTGTCGATGGAATTTTGAACATATTGGCACCATATGCCAACCTGTCTGCCAGTAACATCCGCCTCATTAAAGACAAACAAAAAGGACAGAATAGAGGCTTTGCCTTTGTGCAGCTCTCATCTCCCTTGGTATGTTGCTGTACTGCAGGGTATTCATAACATACGTTGGTGTGTTTCTATTGAGGATGTGCGCATGTATGACGATACGCTTTCAATCTTTGTATAGGAGGCGTCTCAGCTGCTCACCATTCTCCAGAGCCTTCAGCCACCCCTAAAACTAGACGGAAAAACAATTGGTGTGGATTATGCCAAGAGTGCTAGGAAGTGAGTCATCACACACACACACAGCTTGATTCAGCTTTCTCAGAATAGCGCACACAAACTATTTTGGATCTACACAGTGTGATATGCTATACATACTTTTTGTATGCCAAGAATGAAATACAATCAGTTCAGTTATCCCACATTTTTGATTCATAATTACATCCTGCTGCAGGCAGTTTAATTGGCCCTTCACAGAGATTGGCACAAACAAAGGAATAATCTTCTTCAAAATTAAGGATGAACGAATAATTGTCTTGTCCTTTTCAGAGATTCAGTGCAACCTGATGGGATCAGGGCCAGTGCTCTCTCTGTTGCCAGCACAGCTATTGCTGCTGCTCAGTGGTCATCCAGTCAGGTATCAGGTTTTCACTTGGGTTTATTTGTATGTAACTTAAATTATTTGCCCTTAGAATACCGTGAAGCCCACCAGTAAGTGGTTTGGCATTAAATTAAGGCAAAGAGCACTTGTGATCGGAGGTACCTGAAGGTTATGTCCATACAAATGTCGTATATAACAGTAATAGAAAAAGCAATTGTGTGGAGTGTGTAGGAGGATTTAGCATTCATCAGATGTCTTCTCAGAGATCCTGACTCTGAAGATGAAAATAGAACAAATATGCTGCATTATTTGACCAAAATAACTACATTTTTGATTAAGTTGTTTTTTTCTGGTGGTTAACTTCTATTAAGTTGATTTGGACTAAATAAATATATCTGCAGCTTCCAAATAAATGTAATTTCACAAAGTAGAAAATCGGAATTAGAATGGGGCTAAAACTAGGATTATCATGATCGTAAAATGAACCATCTTTGAGTATTTTGAGCTGAATAACTGAAAGACGGGGCCATGTGAGACTTTGAATATTATGCAGAAAATAGGCACAATATGGAACCTTTAAATGAGAATATTTTTTCTATACCAATGCAAAACCAAATTCCCCCTATAATTTCGAATATTTTATGTTTTTTTCCTGCTTTCTGCTCTTTGTTTTAATTTACCAGTCAGTGTACTAGAGCATAAGTGTCTCTTGCCAACGATTGACATATCTAACTGCGCAACACGAGTATCCTTTGGGAGTCCTCCTCCTCATCTCCTGTCAAATTAAAGTCCAATATTTCCTCTCTGGCTTGGCAGCCCTTAATGAAAAATGTCTGTCAATTTTTTTGTTGTTCGTATTTGTCATTCATTTATTCTGGCTTTCCTCCATTCATGCTAGACAAGTTGTGTACAATTGGTTTATTTGCTAGCTTGTCAACAGATTTATATAGAGACCAGAGGGATCTAAACAAATGGACTGATGCCTGCGAAGCTAAACAGCTGCTGAGTTACTTTTCAGTTGGATTATCAATATAAGAACCCTGTTAAGTTTAAGGGTCATTTTATTCATTGTCAGTTTAAATACATAATTATTTAGTGGAGCTTAACATGCTTAAAATTTACTGGTTTTAAGCATTTATATGTATTTGTATTAATTCAGTAGCAAATTGCACATTTTATTTGGTTACTGTGTTGTAATTTTTCATATTCTTTTTAAATTTTATTTATTTCTTTTATTCTTCTTGTAGTTACAACAAAGTTTAGGTGCCAGTTCTGATTTTGTTGCTCTTCCAGAGGGCTACGCACAACAAGCACAGGTCAGTTCACAGCCCACTTTATCACGACAATGATTTTAACAAGAAAGACCTTCGGTTGATGTACTGTCAATCATTTCCTCTCATTTAGGGGCAAAATTATCAAGTATGGCCGCAGCAGCCTGAAGGATTGGCTCCTGTCATTGGAGATGGATTACTTGGAGGTAATAAGAGGTGTCAATCACTAACACATATTTTGGGTACCCTTTTTGTTCCAGACACAGAGATTGCTAACTTTATCATTGCTGTCTACAGCTGCTCCAGGAGTGAAGACTTTGGTGCCTACAGCCACAGGTGTAGTCATATCCCAGGCAGCTCAGGTTTACCAACCTGTCATTATCAGCCAGCCGGCCATACAGGTAAATACTGTATAAATATGACATCTGTGTACTGCAAACTGCTACTGATGTGTCATTTATCACTCTGGTATTATACAGTGAATGCAAAAGTTAATTAGGATTTTTTCCCCCCTCCCTTAAAGACACATCAACTAGTGAGGCCAGTTGTTGCAGCACAACAGGCTGCTAGTGTTTCCACCACATCACTGGTAACACCGGCTTCCTCCACGGCTGCAACAACAGTCTGTGCTGCCCCGACCGCTAGCACAACAGGTAAGATGAGCTTCAGAATTATGGTACAGGATCACCACATCGACCCAGATGTCCTGAACAGTGAAAGCCTCATTTGAATACCAGCTGGGTACCTTTTGCTGCCTCTAATTTTTGTACTGGCACTATAAAATATAGGCATAAAATACCACAAAAAAAATCAGCTTAAAAAAGAATTAGTCCTCTGTATACTAATTAATGGATCCATATTAAATTTAGTCTGCATGAGAAAAGTTTTTCGTTTTACATCTGCCTTGTTTTTGTATTTGCAGCTGTCCCTGACACCTCCACGTACCAGTATGATGAGTCGTCAGGTTACTATTATGATCCACAGACTGGCCTCTATTATGACCCCAGCAGCCAAGTACGTACAATGTGCTTTTACTGAAACGACATAATATACTGCTGCATTTGTGTTCTTATTTCTTTCAATGCTAATAGTCCCCCCTCCTTTTGCTTTCCATCAATAGTACTACTATAACTCTGCGACTCAGCAGTACCTGTACTGGGACAGTGAGAAGCAGTCGTACTTCCCCGCAGCGACTGAATCAGACACAAGCACAGAACAAGCTACGGCTAACGCCACAGCTAGTTCCTTGACCCCTAGCAAAGAGCCCAAAGAGAAAAAAGAGAAGCCTAAAAACAAGTCGGCACAGCAGGTGAATGCTACTTCAAGGGATGTGTTTTTAGTCGTGGCTCCTACATTGTCTTTGAAACAATTATTTTTTTTATATTGAACTGCAGATTGCAAAGGACATGGAGCGATGGGCAAAAAGCCTAAATAAGCAAAAAGAAAGTTTTAAGAGCAGTTTCCAAGGCTTGGGAGCTTCTAAGGAAGAGGAGAGGAAAGAGTCTGCAGCGGCAGATGCTGGTTTCTCACTGTTCGAGAAGAAGGTAATGTAATATCCACTGTTAGACCTCAGTATGATTAGCTTTGGACTGATGTGATGGCATACAGGAAACTGTTGATACATGCTGTGATGCTGCTGACTGGAAAATCACACTGACTCACATTTGGACTTTTTCTTAATTTAATGAAAACCCTTAATTTGAGTTGTCTGTTTTTCAAGCACACAAAGCAACATAGCTACCATCTGTACTGGCCTCTGAAATGCTAATAGCTTTTTATTTGTAGTGAATGTGGGCTGACAGACTGGCCTTTGTGTTGTCAACACTTAATTTGTTGCCTTTCAACAGATTGGAAATTTTGAGATGTCATCCCTCCTGGCTGAACAGTTTAAGCTGACGGAGCAGGAGATTCCAGCAAAGGTTTGTTGTCCCTTTGCCATTATCTGCCTGTTTTATTGTTAATAATGAAAACAACGTGAAACTCTATCTGTTTTCATATTGCAGAGTGATTTTGTTGATGCCTACAATGGGGACAGTGACCCAGAGGAGGGCGGCTCAGATAGAGCAGCAGAAGAGGAGGGAAAAATAACAGACTGGAAGAAGATGGTTTGTCTGCTGTGCCGCCGTCAGTTCCCCACCAAAGAGGCTCTGCTGCGTCACCAGCAGCTCTCTGACCTCCACAAGGTGAGGACGGGAAACAGCAGGCGTTTAATGTGCAAGTAGCTATGAATATTCTGGGCGCTGCCATCTGTTCAGTGCATAAAGCTTCATTACAAAATGTACATTACATATATTATGGAGACATGGAGATTACATATATTTATGTAAGTACAATATTTGTTAAGTTTTCTTTTTGATTTGGTTATTAAAAGTGCTTTTAACTGCTTTAGCAAAATTTGGAAATTCAGAGAAGATCAAGGCTTTCAGAAGCTGAGCTGGAGGAGCTGGAGAGGAAAGAAACTGAGGTATTTGACTCAAACAATAGAAATTGTTATTCTCCACCTTTCTGTTTTTGCCATTGAGTCTATATTGAATAACTCGCAATTATTTTACCAGCTGAAATACAGAGACAGAGCTGCAGAAAGAAGGGAGAAGTACGGTGTTCCTGAACCTCCTGTACCTAAGAAGAAATTCTATCAAGCACCAGTCCCAACAGTGTAAGTGTCATTCATTAGATCTCACTGCAAGCCACCTTTAAAAATTTAAAAATGGACCCTTCTGATTCTGGTGAAGTCTGTTAATTTTCTTTGAAAAGATCTACCTTTTAACTGTCTCCTGTCTTTTACCACCAACAGAAACTATGAACAGCCCACAAAAGACGGCCTGACAAGTGATAATATTGGCAGCAAAATGTTGCAAGCAATGGGCTGGCAGGAGGGCAAAGGTCTGGGGCGCCACCAACAGGGCATCACCGCTCCCATCTCGGTGAGTAGACAAACAGCAATTCACAGCACTTTCACGTTTTTTTCTTCAAAGTAACACTCATATCCTCACTGACCCATCCGGCAGATGGAATCTGTATGTTGGTGTCTGCTTTTGTACACGCAAAGCAATTAGCACTGTTACCTGAGGGGCACCTGCGTCCAATCTGTCTCCTCTAATAACTGTCTTTGCTTCTCCACACAGGCTTCATTAAGGACCAAGGGCACAGGCTTGGGTATTAAACAAAGCTCGTATGAACTGTCAGCATCTGACACCTACAAGGATGCTGTTCGTAAGGCCATGTTCGCACGCTTCACTGAGATAGAGTGAGAAAAATAATCACACTGAACTGTGAAACCTTCATTTTGTGGCCAAAACGTCTTACTGTGACACAGAAAAGTAGATTTTTCCCCTTGTACATACTATTTATGTACATTTGTTTTTTTTTTTTTGTTTTTTTTTAATATTAGCTAGGTATTTTGTCATCCAAAATATCTTTTCAAGATACAGAACATGCACATTTTGTATAGTGTTGGTACGTAAAGTTGTGCAGACATTGATGAGGACTTGTTTCTGTGAGAATCAGTGTGGTTACTAAACCTGCCGTTCGTCCTCACAGACACTCATCTGCAAAATGTTTTCTTCTTTTCAAATGTAAATTTCCTGTTATTCTGAGTTCTAACATAAAATAAAATTGCTTATAAATGCAAAGTTGCCTGTTGGTGTAACTGGTTAGTCATTCAGTCAGCCCCCTGCAGCTTGTTATTGTCATCACTCTAATGTGTTGTGAAGATCAGACTCCGCATTTTTATTCAGTAAGCAGCAGCAGCAGCAGTTTAAGGAATACACAGAGGCTCTGTCACAGTCGCTGAGCTGTAGACATTTAATAACTGAGTGGTGTTAATGATCTCTGAGATCAATATTCAAATAGCAAATTGGTCCGAGAACTTCCAGATCACTTGACAGTAGTTGGTTATCCTTGTCAGCTTCATCTCCAGTGTGTTATTCTCTGACACCACTAATAAACCGCTCTCCTGACCTAATCAGTTGCACATTGATTTCAAAATTCAAACATTCATTTCTCGTCTGTTTCTTCTCATGGTTTGAATGTAGGGTCAAGGTGGAGAGTTCATATGAGAGGTCTTTTTTTCTCTTAAACTCCGTCTCAGTATCCTTCAGACTGTATGGCTTTGTTGAACTCTATGTGCTCGAAATCCCCTGTATAGGCATGAGTTTATATAATAGTTTGATTTATGTGACTTTATTGAGCTGTCAAACTATATAAAAGGCACATATAGGGACTTGATCTTGCTGACCCTGGAACTGGCTGCTCTGTGTGCTGGCTTCCTCCAATATTTCTCCAAGCTTCACTCTGACTGATGCACACGGTAAAAATTTTCATCTAAGTTTGTGTAGCTATAAATTCTGTGTTGTACAGATACTTGTAGCCTGGTCAGACTACACTGACTTACACTACAGTCCCATTCAGGGATGTCGCAAGAGACCTGTCGTTAAGGTGGCACCCTAGAGGGGAATCTCCAACATACACTGAATAAACGCATCATTGATTCTGCTGCATCTCTCTCAACCACCACTGGACATCTTGTTTATTATTTTTGTCAGTCCCCCTTTGACTGATTTCATATCCTCTTTCCTTGGCCTTAGTGTACGGAATACTTCACTTGGTCATGCTTTAGATGTCAGCGTTTTGAAGGTCAAAGATTCTTTGTAATGTTTGTTCGGCTTATTTCAATTCTTTGCTATTTCATGGAGGAACTGAGAGAATTTTTAAGGACAGATCACAAACAAATAGGAACTTGTACTGCTCATAATGGGTTCTTTATTCTTTTGCTCTGTAGTGATGAAGATTCTAAGCAGGAAGTGGGGTTACTCTATAATTCCAGTGGAAAGATATTGCAGCTTTTCTAAATCTGATGGATGCGTTGTACAGTTTAGTGTTTCAAGTGTTAAGATTCACTCTCATCCTCATCACTAGAGGGCAGTGGCAGTTTTTAGTTCCCTCAACAAGTCATTATTTAAAAAAAAAAAAAAAAAAAAAGATAAAACCTTTCACAAAATCCACTGAAATGATCCTCCAACAATTGAAACTTTAGCTGAGAAAGTGTTTCCAAAACTTTCACTTTTACACGGTGCTTTGATGATTTCAGATGCATCCTCATGCTCATCACTTGGCCGCCTTTTATGCAAAACCGCTTGTCGGATTAAGCCCTCTCTCTGTTTCGCTGTGATTGTAGTTTTTCTATCTGTTTACATCAGCAGCCTCCCACACTGTCTGTCACAGAGTCATGCTGGGCACAGGGTGGGCGGGTGCAGCGGGGAGGATTAAGATCACTGGTGTCGGGGTCATGATGCAGCAGCCACAGTGGTGAAGGTAAATCTGAATCATTTCCATTAGATTTTTCTCGAAGACGCCCCCACTGTCGCTCCCGTCAGAATTCCATGTGTCATACCATGTGGTGTGGAAAAGATGGGAGCCAAAATCTTCCCCAGGTCTGCTCTTGACTGACAGCCAAACAGTGCAGATTAACTAACCCTGTAGTAGCAGAATGACAGCTTTGATCTCCCTGTTGATTAATACTGCAGCACAGAATGAACTGTGCTCACTGTCTCACAGGGACATTTGTGAATGCCTACTCAGTTTTCAGCGTGGCTCCAGCTCAGCTTACCAGAATCTGTGTCAGTTGACTAAGCCGTTTTGCATAACGCAGTCAGTGGCCACATTTGTGCTCAATAAAATGGTGAGAGGATGAGACTGACATGCATACCTCGTGTCACAAATGTATAGAGAATGAGAATATGGATCGATTTCACTTCATGCAAAGCCTTTTATTTTGTAAGAACAGCCACATGTTCAGAGGTGTCTGAGGTTCCAGAAACTTCCGCACATTCCTGGATGATATCAATCCCGAGTGTTGAACATACAGAGTTACACATTTTAGGTTCAACAATCCTTGCATCATTGCTTTAGGCTTGTATGTCTGTGCCATTTTGGAGCAGGTCAGATGACCCAGATAATGGCTTTTGCCTCACAGAGTAACACTGTCTTTCCTTTTACATTTCACCACTATAACAGACGGCAACAAAATGTCTTTCTCTCAATGAAACTCAGTCCTATTCCTCACAAAAACCCACATAATATTCACGTCAATCCTAGTCAGTGCTGACTGCAGCCCCTAAAAATATATCACACAATAAAGTCAGATGATTTTTTTGGGCTTTTGTGTCAACAAGTGTGCTATTAATGCAAATATAGGAGATGGCAACAAAGTAATATTTGGCTTGTTAGTAATAATATGTAAAGCTCATATAGAACAATGACAATCTATTTCACTGGGAATTTAAGCAACTGCCTCTTTAAATATTCATAATTTGTTTTAATTTAGACTGTTCTCACGTTTTTGTCACATTACAATTCTGTATTGGCTTTGCTGCACCAGAGACGTATCTGGATTCAAAGATAACAGTAATGTGAGCTGGCAGAGATGCACACACGCACACACACACATGCACACACTCTGAGCCCAGTGTTTCCATCACTTCAGAATACATTACACTGATCTGCATTCATTCCCTGGTGACTTACCCAAACCCTTAACTACGACTATGCCAAACCCCAACTTTAACCTACACCTAGCCTTAGTCCAGGGATCTCCAACTCCGGTCCTTGTGAGTTACTGTCCTGCAGGTTTTAGATGTTTCCGTACTGCAACACACCTGACTCAAATTAATGGATCTCCAACAGCTTGTTGTCAAGTTCTACACAAGTCTTTTAATGATCCATTAATCTGAGTAAGGTGTGTTGCAGTACGGAAACGTCTAAAACCTGCAGGACGGTAGCTCACGAGGACCGGAGTTGCAGATCCGTGCCTTAGTCTAATCTTAGTAGGTTAACTTAAATTTAACAATTTACATTAAGAGGACTTTATTTTGTCCCCATAACACGAGTATTGCAATCTGCACATACACAATCTTTCATCTAATGCATATTCAAATGTCCATAAAAAATATACAACCTAATGTGATTAGGAGTTATAACTAAACATTGTCTGAATTATTGTGGAATCAGTTAACATCAATATTGGCATTTTATTTGACAACTTACTGTAATTTTCAGCTGTAGGAATGAGAAACGGACTCTTCTGCTGTGTCTTCTCACTGAGCTTTGAGTGGCTATTTAATTTCTGTACATATCTGATAGACTGCTTAACGCACCACTAAAAATAACACTTTTTATTTTGCTTCAGATCCACAGTGACTAACTCTGCATCTTATTTTCTTGAATCTGCTGAAGATTATTCAGAGTTGCAAACCATAGCCATTTATTGACATTATTTCAGAATAGAGTAGAATTTATGTTTTTATTTGGCATCCAGATGCTGCACTAAACTGAACTGAACACCGGATATGATTTGCTGACTTTAATTAGGCGACTCCTCGAGAATCTACTCGTTTGCCGCGATGTCAAGACTGAGCCGTTTAGTTTTGCACGACTAACTTATGTATATTTCAGACTGTGCCAACTGTGCACAGAGAGATGCTGTGAATTAAGTGGCTGTTATCAGTGTAAACAGGGAAGCTCTGTGCGCCATGTTGTCAGGTGGATTGTTGGAAAGCCGCACTGATCCTAAGGACATACTGTACAATGTCTTGTTTGTCTACATCTGAATTGTTTGTGTTCCTTTCCTCAGGGATCTAAAAAGGAAATACATCTAAGACTATACTCCGAGCAAAATTTCAAACAGGACAACTCACACTGCTAATACACTTGTCTCATGCAGGCAAGTGGTTTAAAAGTCCAGGCCAGCTGTCCAAACACAGGAAAACTGAATTCAATATCCGAGGAACTTATGATCTGCACATTCATTTAGAGAGAGTTTAGATGTATTATTGAATCTTAGCATTCATAAAATGAGGTATTTCTGACTTATTGCTGATTTGTTACTCCATGAATGTTTTTGGATATTACTCCCAAGGGGCCCTTAAGACGAACCGTCTGATAACAATTCGCTTGGAGCCTTTTGGCTGAATGTGTTATTAACCAACGCAAGATATATCTAATGTGTTTTTCTTTTTGGTTTTGTTTTACTTGGCCTATTTCTCCTGGTGTGAGGAGAAATCTGATAGTGCTGGTCCATTTACCTGTAAATACTGTTTAATAGAGCAGTAGTTAGAGGTATTTATACAAAAACAACCTAATGAAATGAGCCCTTACAAGTAAAACTTGGAAAATGTGTTTTCATTTGTTGCAGTGTTGCTATGCCCACCAAGCTGCACCTTTCTGTTTAACCCTTACATTTCTGTAAACAGTCGTGACTCCATAATCCAACTCTTAATCATCCGAAAATCTTGCTATGCGACAGGTTTTTAGGAAAAACAAACGGAACCCATTAAAAATAGCCTTAACATACCGACAGCCTTGGATTCCGACTCCGACATGACATTTTATGTCACAAATAAGGATAACATGTATTATCTGACTTAACAATCCGACAGATTGGCTATGTTCAGACTGCAGGACTTAATGCTCGATTCAGATTTTTTTGTAAAATTCGATTTTTTTGCGAGTTCGTTCACATTTCCAGTTAAATCTGACTTGTATGTGGTGGCTG